AAATGAATACCTACCTTTTATTATTTTATAAAGTGAAAATATATATAAACTCTCTTTCACTTCTTTCCAATCAAACAAAAAAAAAAAACCACCATTTCTAATATCCATTCCATTCAATCAAATAAAAAATGAAGGAGATACATTCCTTTTCTAAGTGATTCCTCATCCATCCCTCCCTTTGTCTCTTTCATCCCTCCAACCAAACAGAGCATAATTATTTCTTTTCATTTTAGGTTAAACACACTACCACTGTAACATTTATTGACGTCTCACATTATCTGAGGGAAGAGTTTCAAGAGAGATTGGTGGCACTTGTATGTATCGATATCTCTTAATTTTAGAGGCAGGTTTTAAAAATCGTGAATACAAAGAGTATGCGACCCGTCTTAACATCCATGTGGAAGAGGACATCTATATGAAACAATCAAATAATTTTGATGTGAAGGGCCAAGAGAATCTAGTGTGTAAATTGCAAAATTTATGGGCTTAAGCTGCCAAACAGTCCCTTCGACCACAGAACCGTTCAATCAATTATTCATGATCATACGCAACCTGTTCGTAACCTTTTTTCAAGAATTTGATACTCAATACACAACCTGTTCGTAACCTTTTTTCAAGGATTCGATACTATTACACACTTCCATTATCCGACTGATTCAACCAGTTTACATCGATTGAGTAGCGACCGTAACCGATATTGTGTCTGCGAACCATAATTCGAGAGAATGATTGTAATATCCTACTTCACCTAGCCCTTTCGAAACAGGGCATCAGATAAAATTTCATCTATGCCTAATATTAAAACAGACGATAACATTTTGATTTTTAAAAAGTGATGTTATTTTGTACCAACTACCAAGTGATGCTCATTATAATATTCTATTTTTTAAAAAAATTATTCAGTACAAAGATGCTATGTTTATTTTCTAGCTTAACTAACATTTCTTTTGTATGCTTGTGCTTTAAAAAATCACCACAATCATCGGACCATTTTTACTTGAAAAGAAATATAATTATCAAAACATGACTTAGTTAAAATTCAGGGAGAGTAATTATTAAGGCCATTTTAGAGCATATACTAAATTTCATCATCCAAAAATGACAATATACATGTGTGTGTGTGTGTGTGTGTGTGTATATTGTCAATGTACATGTATATATAAATTTCACCCAACGTGTTAAATTTTTTTTTATTGAAGCAAGGTCGGCTCTAGGGCCATCAAGTACGACGCTTGCCTAAGGGCCCACTTGGAAGGGTCTTTATCACTGTGTATTTTTTTAAAATTATTTAAAAGAAATTTATATTAGAATTCAAAAAAATCGTAAGGCATATTCTTTGATATTTAAATTCAATGACGTGAGATGTTATTGGAACACCAATATTACAAACCTTGTTTAAAATACATTTTTTTTTTTTTTTAAATTTTTAACATGAACTCATTAAATAGAAAACACATAGAACATGTGATAATTTTATTATTTATTTTGTGTCAGGAAAAAAAAAATTTCTAGCACGCCTGTGGTTTGCATAAAAAAATTTACAAGAAAGTCATGGGGAAATGTTATTTAATTATTTAAACAGTATAAAAGTTAGAAGGAAATATTATAATTTATTCTTATTATTTCTATTAAACAACAAAATTGGACTACATAATCAAATAAATATTTTGGTCCTTTCCAAAAAAATTAAAGCAATATAAGAATTTAAATAAATAATTTTGTAGGATTTTCAAAGAAAGAGATAGGCGATTGTATCACTCTTACTACAAGATATCGATATCTAATGTTAAGAGATAAAATTTTTAATAAAAAACATAATTGAAGAGGATCCGGATCTAATTTGCAATTCGATCCAAGAATAACATTCAATTCATATATATTTAATTATTTTCTTAAACAATTACATTATTTTAATTCTTCTATTGTGGAACCACAATAAATAAATATGTAAAATTAGATCTAATTTCTTATACTTTTTAAGTAATTTATTTAGTATTGAAAGTGACAATCTGGATGCAATTATGTTTCTAATATATATAGGTAATGATATATATATATATAATTTGGTAAAAAGCATTCATGGTATACATGTATGACTGAGATGGATCATCACACCTATTTTTCTTAAATAAGTATCTTAATAGTTTGTTTTCATTGCCAAGAAACAACGAAAAATATATGAATATTTCAAATTTAAAAATTTAATATTGAATTGATAGAAGGTAGTTTTGTAATTCGATAAATGATAAATTATTATGCTTTATTATTATAAAAAAAATTAAAGATTTTATTGAACTAAATACTACATAAAGAAAAAAATCAGTGCGTAAATATATTTTGAGTCGATAGATAGTTGAGTCACGTATACCTTCATTCATATTAGAATTAAGACACAATGAAACCTAATCATCATCATTTCATTAAAAAAGTGAATAGAAATAAATAAATGAATAGATAGGAAATGAAGTCACTTTTTATTTTTATTTTTATTGGATTAAAGTGGTAAGGAACCAAAAATAAATAAATAAATAAATTTGTGAGATCTTTAATTAGTGCTTGGTAAGAAGGATGAGAAGAAGAATTTTGAGCAATCACTGATCAAAATCACTATTCATAATTCGTCGTATCGATCAATACGTGATCTCTACGTAATCCTTTTTCAACAGTTCGATACAATTACACACCTCTATGAACCAACTAATTCGACCAATTTACATCAACTAAATAGCGACTGCAATCAATACTGCTTCTGTGAACATAATTCAAGAGAATAATTATGATATCCTACTTCACCTAACCCTTGAACATAATTCGGGAGAATAATTGTGATATTTATTGAACTAAATACTACATAAAAAAAAATTTGCATGCGTAAAGATATTTTTGGTCAATAGATATTTGAGATCCATATAAAACTTACCTTCATTCATGTGGGTTTTAAGACGTTAATGAAACCTAACTTACTTTCTCATCATTTCATAAAAGGGATTAAAAAACAGTGAATAGAAATAGATAGGAAAAGAAGTCACTTCTTTTTATTTGATTAGAGTGGTAAGGAACCAAACAAAATAAAAAAATAAATTTGTGAGATCTTTAATTAGTGTTTGGTAAGAAGGATGAGAAGAAGAATTTTAAATATTATTTTATCAGTAAAACCCTCACTCAATAGATTACTGCATAATGTAATTTAAGGAGGTTTAATAAGAGAATGAAAACATCATTTTCAGTTTAGACAAGAAATGTCATTTATTTTTCTTATACCCTTTCCCCTCAGTTTTGAATGGAAATATAAATTGGTGAAGGGAGGAGAAGACTTTCCATCCTTTCTCCATTTTCCTCTCCCTCCCTTTTTGTCAAACACGTGCAGTATGCTCCATCATCTTTCTTCATTCCTATGAATTAGCTATAATATTTATAGTTTTTTTTAAAAATGCATTTCAAATTAAAAAAACACGACTAACCAAAAAAATAAACCAATAATGACGTTAGGAATAATGTTTTTTTTTTTTTTTTTTTGATTTTTTTTGTTTTATAAACAAGAAACTTACGTACTCATTTATTTTTAAAAAGTTTTAAACATTGATCAATCACTTTGAAAGGTGGGAGGGAGAGATAGATATTAGCTTTGTTTGGAGGCAAATTCTTTGAGATTTGGTTTTAGAATGGGAAAATGAATTGGATTGGATTTAAAATGAAATTTTATTTATGTGTTTGAAATAAAATGGAATTTCTAAAAAGGTAATATAATTTTGTACCATTTTACCCTATAAATGTAGGTGTGTAGCCAACAGCGCGTGTGTATATATAAATATATATAGTGCAGTAGTCTTCAACGTGCAGTAGCGGACGAGAATAAAGTGAAAAAGAAAAAGGGTTATTTTTGGTAAGTTAAAATTTTTATTGTGCCAGATCAATCGTAACACTTTAAAATCCGATGAAATCCCATTTCTTTTAAAATTTTATCCATTCAAAACAACTCAAATCTCTTTTAAAATCCAATTTCCCGTGAAATCCATTTGTTCCAAACACATAAGTGTAACCAATGTTACGAATTTAAATGAAAATGAAATTATTTTTTTAAAAATAGGTTTAGTAGCTAAATGTAAACAAAAGTAACTAAAATAAATATGACATTATAGAGATTTTATGAATAGGTTGATGATATCATAAATGTCCTCTCCCTTTAAACAAATGCATTTTTTTTTTTTTTATGTTTTTTTTTTTAAAAAAAACAAATGACAAACATATCTCAAATACTTTTTTTTTTTTTTTTTTTTTTTTTTTTTTTTTTTTTTTTTTTTTTTACGAGTTAGGGACACATTTTGTTTGGAACCAAAGTTTTTTGATATAGAAATAGAAGTGGAATTGGATTTCAAATGAAATTCCATTTGTGTGTTTGAATAAGTTGAAATTTAATTATAAAGAAAATATTTTTTAATCATTTAATTTTTATTAATTAAAATTTCAATTATATTTTACTAAAAAGAAGGGCAAATTAGATAAGTTACAAACCTACAACTAACCTAATTTACAAATTTCATCAAATTCCACCATTTTTCAACTTGAAAACGTACATTATACTTTGGGATTTCAAATCACATCAAATCCTATTTCATTTTAAATTTCATTAATTTTAAACACTAGGACTTCCATTTTGAATTCTAAATTCCACCAAATTCCAACATTCCATAGGAGTGCATTTTATTAAATGGGAGTGCCAATATCGATTATATCTATTGGTGAAAATAAATTCTTTTTTTTGCCTTATGAGTGAAATTAATTTTGTTGTTTTTAGTAATTTGTTTTTCAGGTTAAAAAAAAAAAAAAAAAACACATTACTAAAAAATAATAAAATAAATAGAAAAATGCTCCGTAGTTGTCACGACATATAAGGCATCACATGTGGGGTTTTGCGGCTCAACCATATCACCCCTTTATCGTCTATATGCATTTTATCTATATTTGTGTATATATATATATATATATATATATATAAAGCCGTTCCTTGATATCGCTTTAATTGAGACACAGAAGAGAGAGATAGAGAGGAGGCAAACGAAAAGAGACTCATGAAACGGTTCTGTTCCCCAAAGGCACAACTCTCAACCCCAAATACTATCAGTTTCTTCTGTAATCCCCGTCCCACACACACACATACATAACCCACAAGAAGAAGAAGAAGAAGAAGAAGAAGAAGCAACAGCAACGGAGGAAATGATGTCTCAGACAAAAAAACCCAGAACTTCCATTGAAAGATCTGATCTATTCGATGTCTTACCTGACGATATTCTCATCTTCATCCTCTCCAAGCTCTCTTCCACCGCTCGATGCCCTTCAGATTTCATCAATGTTCTCGTCACGTACGTATACACATACACGTATATATATATATATATATATATAGTTATAAATACATACATAGTTCGTGGGTATCTTTTTGTAATTGAAACTAATCTCTCTCTCTCTAAAAACAGATGTAAAAGACTGAACCGGCTCGCCCTCAACCCACTGGTTCTGTCCCTAACCGGTCCCAAAACGTTCTCTTTCCGAGCCCAAAACTGGTCCGAGTCCGCTCACCGGTTCTTGAAACTGTGCATTAGCGCCGGCAACACCGAAGCATCTTATACTCTCGGAATGGTCAGTATATATCACACACATATATACACACATATGTATATATGTATTTGTATCTATATTTGTATTGAAATTTGTTGTTTAACCGGCGCAGATCCGATTTTATTGTTTACAAAACCGAGGGAGTGGACTGTCTCTGATAGCCAAGGCGGCGATTAAGGCTCACGCGCCGGCGCTCTACTCGCTCGCCGTCATTCAGTTCAACGGCAGCGGTGGTGGCTCCAAAACCGCCAAGGACCTCCGAGCGGGGGTGGCGCTCTGCGCACGAGCCGCCTACCTAGGTCACATCGACTCGCTTCGCGAGCTCGGGCACTGCTTCCAAGACGGTTACGGTGTGCGCCGAAACGTCTCCGAGGGACGCCGACTGCTCATCCAAGCCAACGCTCTTGAGATCGCGTCTATCATACGCGCCGTCGTAGCGGCGTCACATTCGCGTAACGAACCGCAACCGAACGTGGCCGCACTTTGTTCGGGTGTGGGTATGGGGTTACTGAGTGATTTGGGGTGTCACGTGCCTTCACGTGAGGTTCACCCAGTGAATATGTTCTTGACGGAGTGGTTCGGTTCGAGGGGTGGGGAACCGGGTTTGGATCTCCGGATGTGCTCGCATTCGGGTTGTGGTAGGCCCGAGACGCGCCGGAACGAGTTCCGGAGGTGCTCGGTGTGTGGGAAAGTGAACTACTGCTCACGTGGGTGTCAGGCGCTGGATTGGAAGTTGCGCCACAAGGCGGAGTGCGCACCCCTCCTGCTGGATCAGTGGATGGAAGACGTTGATGGTCATGATCATGATGGGGATCAAGTGGTGGAGGATGGAGATGCTGTGGGTGGGCCCATTTGAAAAGATGTTAGATTCGAATGTTTCTTTTGAATTTTGCAAACTGTTCCGTGAAAATCTTTCTGTACATCTTTTCTCTCTTTTTTTAAATCATGTGTATATGGCGAAACAGAGATTTTGTTAGGTCTTTTCATTACCTGTGCGATCATTTTAAATGGGATAGATTTGATAAAACCACCATTTCACGTTAAATCAGGATATGATAACAGCGGTTCACTCGCTTAGATTTTGGTACTTCGCATGTTCAGGTCCGGACTCGAATTCCCTGGCTTAGACTTTGGTACTTTGCATGCTCAAGTCCGGACTCGAATTCCTGCTAGTCTTTATTGCCCTTGTAATTTATTCGGTTCAAGCGAGGAGACACCTTATCGAATCTTTGGAATTAATCGGGTTGTTTAGGAATTCTCGGGCTCGTGCCTTTCTAAATACATCGGGTTAATTATAAAAAAAAAAATATTCACTTGAATAAAGCAAGGACAAAAAGGGTTAAAAATTTATTTATTTCTATTGTCAACAAACACAACTCAGTTCATTTACATATGGCTATATGGCTATTTGAATATGAGGAGATTATACCATTAAGATTATAAATGAATAAAATTTGTGTTTTAACTTTTCAGACTATTTGGCGAAATTTGTGTTTGCATTTTTCAGTTAAGGGTTGATGTCGGGACATTAGAGCATTTCATAATTCATCACTCGACACATGCAGTCCGCCGGCTAAGTTCATCTCTCCGTAGGGAAGATAGGATAGTTTCATATTAAAATCTGATTATCCAAACATCGAAATCTTCTTGTGATTTTGGTTTTAGGAAGAAAAAAACAGGTTTCTCTCATTGATGAATTTGACTTGGTAGCTAGATGTTTAATTTTTTGTTGGAGGTTCTTAAATTTTGTAGTTAATGGGGGAGGTATGTGAAGAAGAAACTAGAAATTTGTGTGAACCCCACCTTTCATTATCATTCGCTTACTATTTTTGTTTTGTATAGCATTATTATGATTATGATTAAAAGTACAAAAGGATATTTCTTGGCTATGAGTTGGCAAAGGTTACATTTTGGAGGATATTGTCCCAATTTAAACACAAGGATGCCCTAGCAGAAAGGCAGGTTGTTGTGATGTGCCACTAGACGTGGTGTTGGGGGACCTATGGGTTTGTGAATGGGTAAAAAAATTTAGGTGGTGCCACCCTATCAAACCATCGGAAGGGGGCCGGACACGTTTGGATGGATTCTTAGCTAAGAGACTTTTGATCTACTCTGATACCAATTATTACGAGTTTTGTGTTATCATCCAACTCAAAATTTTAAGTTGTTAAATATCTAACGTGCAACAATCCCTATGACCCTACTCTATTCCATAAGGCGTGGGATGGGAAAATGATGATGAAGGCAAGGGGACACCCTATAAATTCTCATAAATCTTGTTTTAAGTTTTAAAAATATATATTCCTTCCGGAAATGTTTTGATTTTGTTTTCTTATTTGGGGTAAGATTCTTAAAGATGGGGGTATCATATCAATGCCTTCTACACTGTTTCTTTGGGTATAAATTCCATCTTCGTGCCTTTTTAGGCAGACTGAAAGAGACACTTCATAAGATAGGACATGGGTAGAGTGCCTCTCCGCTTTCTCACTATTTTCTTGGGAAATTTCCTGGTCTCAGTGATGAAGTTGTATTTAATTGTATTTAAGACAGGCATAAGGCTGGTTGGCCATGAGGACAAAGAAGGAATCATCAAGGAAATTTCTTGTTAGGGATGAAGAATTAACCCATGCTAAGTATCTTTTTCATTAGGCATTACCAATGACATATGACTTAGTGTAACGAGTTGGGTATTTCGCGATCCGACCATATATACCCAATCACTTTTTTATCTGGATCCGATGAGAGACAAGCTCCTCCTTATTATATTCTCTCCCACCTGAATTCGCAACTCCCTTGTTACATTCTCCCCCACCAAAATTCGAAACTCCCTCATTGCGATCGGACCACCTTGCCTATCAGGATGGCACACCCGGATGCTTGGCGTGACACTGAATTAAGGACTAGGTCTGACTTTGATATCAACTGTAACGAGTTCATGCTTTGTAATCCGACCCAAAAACCTAAACTATTATGTAAGGCTAACACCTAGTCCATATATACCCTTAGGTAGGGCTAACACCTAGCCCATATATTTTTTGATAAGTAAAATTGGAACTTTTTGACAAAACATTCAACCCATATATACCCCAATCATTTTCCCATTCGAATCCGATGTGAAACAAACTCCCCCATGTTACACTTAATTGATACAGCGTCCAACTCCCCGAGCGAGTTGGTTCGTGTTCGAGTATGCTCCCCTTAGTTTGCCAGCCAAAAAAAAAAAAAAAATTAAAAAAATGTGTATCATTTCCATTGATTCTTTCTACTTTCAAAAAAAGCTTTCTAGACTTTTATGGTTCTCTAATATTAGTATATAAACTAACCCTACACAAGAAAATAGTAAATGGAAAGCAAAATAAAAAAAATAGAAAAGAGAGGAATATCCTGTGCACAATAACATTCCAAGAACAAGTGAACCACCAAAGACTCAAAACACATATCTAATATAATGTGAGCAATAATAGAAGCTATTAGTGAGAGGACGCACTAACACAATTGATGAATCATTTTATACATAAATAATGTATCTTATCCCAACATTCCATATAATCAAATATCAAACAATGGGCCTGCTGATGACTCTATATATATTTAAACATACGGCCGTTATTAAGCTAATCTTGAGAGCAGCCACTTCGTCCAAATAATATCAAAGATTATACATAAGCTTATCTAGAGTTTACACAGGATTCTTAATGAGTTAATGCATTTTATTATGTTTTGATGAAATAATACCTGTGTAACACAGATATTCGGCAAAAATCCAACCCGAGCATGAACCCGATTTGTAAATTGCGTGTCCAAATTTAGAAATTTTTGGGTTGGGGCTGGGCTGGGCTGGGCTAACCCGCCCAACTTGCAGCCCTACCTGTGTTTAAAAACTTGGAACAACTTTCTCTCTCTCTCTCTCTCTCTATATATATATATATTAGGCGAAAATCATATACAGTACAGAAAGAAGGTAGGAACAAGAGGTGATGTACAAGGAGGGGCATACTTTTTCCTACAGAGACAGAGACAGAGTTGGGTTCGAGTGTCCAAATTGGTAGGGCTAGGACTAGTCAACGCCATAATTTTGTATATCTGAAACAACACGAAAACAAAGAACCTTCTTAATAACGTATCCTCCACCACCTCTTACTGTGGGCAGAAATCAAGCTGATCCTATCAAATCTTTGAATATCAGTAGCTACCCTAGGAAAGTGAAAGCGTGCATACCATTGATATGAATGTGTACCATTCTTCAACTGCACATCATCAACTAAGCAATATATATATATATATATATATATATATATGTATGTATAATTATATGTATATGTATGTATGTATGTATGAATATATGCAGCTCATGCAAGGCACACACCTCAACTGTAGAAGTTTCAACCCTCCAACCATGCACTTTTCATCAACCAAACTTTAGAACTTTCCATGCCCACATATGCAATCTTGTTATACACAAATGCATCAATATATATATATGTACACCTTATCTTTTCAACAGCTAAGAAATGGATGACTTTTGGAAGAAAGCAACAGAGGCAAACATTAAGCATCCAACTGTGTCTTATTAAGAATATAATCCACACCAACCTACATAATCCATGGATAATCCAAATAAATCCGGATCCATGAAATAGCACTTGAATTCTATCTCCAAATCCAACCCCAATCCTAGAGAGGTTTTAAAAAGAAAACCAATGTACACCCCATTTTAATTCAGATTTGTAAACTACAACCCTGACCCAGTAATATAACCTACACATCTAATTGTATCTCAAATCAAACCCAGTGGATAAGTCATAGCCATGAGAGGTTAGATCTGAAGATATGCTGATGGGTGCTTTTTAACCTTTTATACTTCCCACACACCATGTATGAGCAATGAATCAAATCCAAGTTTCTTACGCCAAAATTTGGCTGTTTCTAACCTTTTGATCTGAACATATGTCACAGCAAATCCGAATCTCAAATAATTAATCCATAAATATTAGTCTCACTTTGATTTAATAGTACTTGAAACAATGAAGTACATGAACATATAGAGTCACTCGTAACTTTTGCTTTAATACTGATTATAAAGCAGGGTGACAAGGCAGAAGATTAATATCATTTCAGATTGCTTTCACCTAAACCCCTACCAGTTTCAGTTTTACATTTATACACCACTTCTGCTGTCTAATCTAACATAAATTAAATATTTCCTTGTCATACCAGGAAACTACCAAAGAGAGCACACTTAATCACTTTTAGGCTCGTTAATGAGAGAGAGAGAGAGCTAATTACAAAGGGCTTATTACCAGCAAAACTGCACTAATCCTGTCCATGCTACTCTGCCTGCTCTGTCAACACAGGATTTTTAGACTCCAAATTATTTGCATTTTCTCGTTTTGGGAGGATGGTATAAAGCTGTTTCTCCAACTCTATTAAACTAATAAAAAAAACATTAAAAGGATCAGTAAGCGAAATGCAAAATGAGAAATGACGTTTAGGTTAAAAGCACTGAAGAAACTATCTTCAGGCAAGTATATGTTACCTTCTTTAGGTTATATCACAAGGCAAAATGAACAATGATGTAATAAACAATGATATGTAATTTGCAATGATATTATGTTGTAATAATCAACTTACATCTCATACTTGCGGAAAGCTTCATTTCGCTTTGTCAAGTATATGTCACTATCTTTAGGTAGATTGTTCAAAGCATTGCCTGAAAATTTGATGGGTGAAATGTTAACACATAAATAAAAGGATACATTCACAGTAAAATACTGGCAAACTCAAAACAATGATTTGAAGATGCCAGCTCTCCTTTTGGTAGTCTCTTGGTGGTCGCATTACATGCGGTACACATTAGGGTTGACTTGGGAAAATTTTGGGGCAGGGTGGCCCGTTCTACGCACATGATGTAGCCCATTGCCAATTTCATAGCACAATGAGGGAAGGAGGGAAGGTTAATACAACTCTTACTCTCGTGTCTATAAACTTTCTAACCGAACCCAGAAAACAAAAGGAACCGTGTGATAGAGAAGTAAACACATCTGTGTAACAGATACATTGGACGCTATTCATTTTACATGCCATAAAACAAACATAATAACACTGTAAATGAGCCATACTTGGAAGTGGAACGGGTAGCTTTATGCCCTCATTTTTGTGAACCTTTACAGGATCTTCTTTGCTGGTAGGCTGCAAGCCCTGTTCAAGAAAGCATGAGGATTACATAATTATTATAAATGCAATACTACACAAAACATTCAAGTGGAACTTGTAATCACAAAACCAGTAATGAATTGTAGACATAAATCTGAAAGGCTACTATCAACAGTTAAAAATCAAAACATTAAAAAGAGAAACAACAAGATCTAATAACATAATAATAAGCTGGACAAGATAATTCAACAAATAAAAACAAAACAAGATATAGATTCATTAATGAATACATGGCCGTAACAAGGTTTCAATCGATCAGCTATACATAATTCCTCCAAAAGCATAAAAAGTAATGCTTTTGATATTAAAGATTCCGGGAAAAATATATATATCCCAAGATTTTGATTAGCTGAAATAAGGACTAAGCATTCATGCTAAGATTTTGAATAGCGGTCCTGCCTTGGCTCCAAGGCTCTTGCCTGCTGCACCAATGTGAGTTGCTGCTTGATTATCACAGACTTCTATAGTCAGACTAGGTCTTCTAGAGTGAACTAGCATCATCGTCTTTCTATATTTTGTGCCACTAGAACCATAAGCCGCATCCCCCAACTCACAATCGAAGTGGTCTCATGCGATCACATGCAAACGATAAAGTACCACTCGGTCACCGATGGCTACGTCCAGGGTGGGAGAATGATTTTTACATTCCATCTTTATAGTAAAAGGGGTGGAGGTTTGAGTCCTCTTCAAGGCATCATATTGAGAATGCTCATTGAATGAGCTATTCAATAGGAGAGCTCGGATTGACCGTGTTAATGAATACTTCTGTAACAAATGTCGGCTTATCTATATATATATATATATAATTAACCTCAACATATAAATGGAGCATAACTTACAGATTATACAGGGAAAAAACCAATATATTCCAAAGACTCCATGCATTAGCAATTACTGAATTCTACTAAAACATGCAAACTAAAGCATGTAATATTTAAAAGTGGGTGACCATTCAATCATGAACCTCCACATAGAGAAGCAAAGCCAAACAAATTGCTTTGGTGTGTGTCAACCATGTGAGCATAAATATGCAATAACACATCCTAATACTACACAAATGAAATAAGAAGTCATTAATACCTTCTTCTTCTCCTTTCTCTTCAGTATTTTTACATGGCACTTTTTAATGTAGTGCATCAGATGATAACGGGAATGTCTCGAGTACAGCTGTTCCCTAACCTCTGCGTTCTCAGATAACCAGTCTAAGATATCTTTTGACTTGATAACCTCATCTGCATCTAATGATTCTAACCAGGAATAAACTGGCATCCATTGATCAGTGCGTTGAAACCGAGCTTGATGAAGATCAACCTGATTAACATCTTTGTCCTGCCATAAGTAGAAAACTTTCGATACCATTGTGGTAGTTTTGGGGGAAATGTTGGCCCTTGAAAATGTAAGGGCAATAAAAAAAAATGCATTTATACAATAGTCTGTTGAAACAAAAAGAGGACCACCATACACAAAATAGAATAAAATTACAATAGTAAGCAAAGAGACTACTAAAGAAGTTGACCAGAAACAAAACCAAGATGCACATTTTTCGCAATCATATCTATGATATGATGTAGCCTGTTCAAGATCTCCAACTTATTTATGTATTAACCTAAACTGTTTCACATGCATAAAATGGCTGAGTCATGCATGATTAAGCCAATGAGTTTCGCACTTCCTTCAGACCCCATATTTTTTACTCACAGAAACAACACATCTAAAAACCAACATCTCGTTTCCAACAAATTCCCATATACACCACTGACTTTGTGACTAACACTGGCTTCCCAGTTTCTGAAAGCTAACATACCCAACGTACTCCTACAATATGGCAATATGTATGTTCCCAGTGTGACCAATTTTTTATAAAAGATCATGAAAATTAGAGGAGACCGTCATGATCCATTTCATTTGTCTCCCTACTTTACACTAAACCATTTGAGTTTAATGACTAAAGAATTTCCTGAAAGCTAAAATTTTCCCCAATGCATGTCAAAAATCAGCTTCACAATTTACCACTTAAGGCAGTGAAGCAAATAAAATTTCTCCTTCTTGAATTAGGGTCCACTCATTATTAGTTGATATAATGCAAAGCAAACAATATGAAAAGCAAATAGAAGCCCGCTTATGCTGCTTTGGCTGCACTTTTTGGCCTTTGCAATTAAACATGCGCAAATATATTTATTTCAAAACACAATAACTTATATACCAATTTTGAATCATTCAGTACCCAACTTCCAAAATTGATGATGTAAAATAAACATTTCTAACGTCAACCATATTATCTATTAAATCATGGGTCATCGTCACACAGTCACACTTGCTCATATTCCAACCAACATTTTCAGCATACAGATTTCCTTGTTGCACCTTCAATAGAACCAGTATCACTCTTAGGACTAATGCTACCTTTACCACCACCACCATCATCATTATCATCATCCTTGCCTTTATCCCATATGGATGGGGTCGGCCAAATGAATTCACTTTTTCCATTCTTTCCCATTATACAGTCTTCTCTTAAATTTAAGTTTTTTAAGTCAGTTTTTAATTACTTCATTGGTTCATCCCACGTAATGCTACTTTTACCCTCCAACCAAATAATTCATTTCTAGTTAGCGTTAAAGGTTTCAAAGTCTTAGTTTGGACATTTAATATATCAATTAACCAACATTTTGTACCAAAAATACATAGCTAGACTTATAATTAACTCCCAAAATCCTTGCTTTCTCCTGGCCGGCAACCTACAAACTTTATGCCCACTTTGTAGATATTATCCCCTTTGCACACTCTTCATGCTAGCAGTTTTCAAAAAACATCTAGACAATTATGAGGGATATACACATAAGTGCCATAAACTTCTCCCTCTTAGGCAATGTGGGAAATCACACATAGAAACACACACACACACACACACACACATATATATCAAACCATTGGGTTTACCCTAAGACATAATGCATGACAGTGGAAATCTGCAATACACTGATCAAACGAATTCGACAAAGAATAAAAAAAATGAGTACCTTATTAGGCGTTTCAGTGCTATTAAGAATCAAAGTGAGGCGGTCGTAGAGCTCGGATGGAGCCATTGTTTTGATATGGTCAGGTAAAAAGGCATGGTTGGAGTCGAGCCAAGCTTCGACCTCGCTCATGGTCAGAGTCTTGCCCTCAGGCATTGTAGAGAGCCAAGCACGAGCAATCGCCTCCCATTCTTGGGATTCGTGGCTGTAAATATTAGGGCTCAGATCGAAGGATTGGTGTTCTAGGGTTTGGTTTAGGGGATTCTCTGAATTCGACATTGAAGGCGTTCGATGAAATTCGCCTGTTACTCTCCAGCGTCTGTTTAGCAGTCTCAGTCTCCAATTAAGTTAACATACGACGTCGTACTTCAAGTTTTTTCTTATATATATTTTATATGGCTATATATATATATATATATATTATTTAATTTTCCTCCATAATCGAATAGACTAGCTACTATGGTAGGTTTATTGTTGTAGCTATGTATGGAATAATTTGGGATGAAAATATTCTATTAAAAAAAATTGCTGTTTCCATTCAATAATATGTCATGGGAGCAGTTAATCCCATTTCGAAAAAAATTTCTAACATAAAGAAAGGGATCTATTTTTGCATTTTGGAGTATAAATATGATAAAGGCTTTTGTTTTTTTATTTTTTATAAACACCTATTCTAGTGTAATAAATCTTAGTCTTCTCAATCCTAAATCATACCATCTTTCTCAACAGGTGTCGCTCTTATATTCCGAACGTTCTCACTCTCCGTGCACGTTCTCGATCAAATTCTCATTACTTATGACTTAATTATGTCACTCTCGCACTCCACCTCTCGAATTCGCTCTCACTCCCGCTCTCTGTGACTTAAGTGACTTAAATTCCACCTATGTGAAACCTAAACTTAAATGATAAACATGGTTTACGGTCAATTCCGTGCATTCAAAATTTGCAAACCATCATCAGGTCCAAAATGACTTTTGTTTTTTTATGCGAGAATCCGTTCATAAACTTATAAACTATCATTTCCCCTTATATTGTCACAGATTGCCAAACAAAGATGAAAGTTGAATAACTTAAACAAGCAGAGGAGAAAAGGGAGAGGACGAAGACAGAAATTGCTCAGATAGCAAGAAAAAGAAAAGAAAAAAATTGAACTTTTAACTTAGAATACATAATATATTTCTGCAAAATTGTTTCTCATCACACAAACTAAATGATGAGAAGCTGTCTACCTATACTTCTTGGCCTTGGCCAACTTTTTCTTCTTTTTCTTCACAGCCTTCGGTACTTTAGTCTTCCGGGCTTCCCTCTTCTCTTCTTTGACTTTCTTTTTGTTCTCTTTCCTAACGGCTTTCTTATCAATCGGAGACTCTGTCTCCTCCTCATATGCAGACCCCCGCCCTTCCGAGTCACTGGAGTTCTCTTCATCATCATCTTCATCTGTTCCGGATTCTGATTCGCTATCATGCAGATTAGGATGCGTAGCAGGCCGAGCAGTGGACTCTAGTTTCAGGTTCTCTTCCTTCAGATGTGCCGCCTCTATTGCTGGAGGATGCGCAGTGGAAAGAGCATGTTTGAGCCCTGTAATCGTCTGATAGTATATATCTCCGGTATCCAGGCCACTAGTAATGCGATCTATATCCGCCTCAGCATTCTTCACATTTACTAGTGTCTTTGGTATGAATGCCTAAAAAAAATACAAGACAAAAATATATTAACCGATGTCACATTTGAGTAAATTATAAGGTAAATCTCAAACACACACGTCACTAGTAATCCGATTTTTTATTTTTGTGGCCAATAATTTACCAAATCAAACCAGAATCGGGCCAAAGAAAAAGCCCCAGTCCCCCAGTAGGCAGCAAATAAGACTCCCCTAAAAAACCCTTTTTTAAATATTCAAAATAGAATATTAGTCTAGAAAATTTTGGAAAAGAAAAAAAAAAATTAACAAGATAACACTAATTTTGATATTGTGGCCCCAATTTTGTTTTGGGTTCCAACCCGGTTGACCAGAAAAGTGAGCTTTGTGTGGGCCCAAGCATTCAAGATTGTCCAAGACAAACCCAGTGCTAAGTTTTAAGAACAAGAAAAAAAATTCTAAATGACAAATGAAAGATAACCTAACATTCCTAACAGCATTTACACTTCAGTCTTGCATCCACCATTACATGATTTAACAAATATAATAAACACCATATATATAATGCATTCAGTAGTATTTTTCCCTAAATACGGTGCCATAATCCATAATTCAAACATTTGAAAGTTGCAAAATCAACACCTCACCACAAATTCACATGCAAACACTTGAATTAGAAACATTGATTATAGTTTTAAAAGGGGTCAGATATAGCTTGCTAGGCTGCATTTCCATCAATAACTGCTAATACAAACTGCTCAGAGCCCAGTGCGAATATCATCATTCACTATATATCAATAATAGTATAACTCAAATAATAGAACAATATATGTGGAGATGAGAAAGCATTAACCTACGTAGATCTGGGTTAAGGGTAATTCCAACTTTGGGCTTGTCTAGAAATATGTAAACATGCTAAAATTGAAATGGCCAATGAGAAAGCCCTCAGATCTCACAGCTTTTGAAGCTAATGGCATTCATCAAAAGCCTTCACCCCACCACCGTGAAAAAATAATAATAATAATAATAAACAAATAAAGGGTAAATTCCATTGACATCCCCAGAGGTGGCGGCGGTGGCGGTGGTGGCAGCAGTGGAGGCTACTGATGGATGGAAACCATTTAAATGTTGAGATTTTCCATCATAGGGCAATCAATGGAGAGAGCATGCTTAATAATTTCAACTCACATGTATATAAATAAATAAATATATATATATATATATATATACACACACAAACAAAGACATGTAAATATATAGGAGAGAGATAGAGAGAATTGTAAAGAGAAATTTTTTGGAACCGCTTATTCGCTCGCGGGTCGTGAACCCTGTTTGGTACTCTCTTATAGCCCGGCATACAAGGGCATTTAGGGCTTGGAGTGAGATAACAAGAGACTGAAGATCACAGGAAAGAGTGAGAGTGAAAGCTAGGGGTTTGGGGGCTGAAACTTTTAATCTCCTATTTTTCGCATAATGAAACCTTTTGATGGATCTTCACTGTGGATGTAGGCACAACTTATTTCGTACCACCTAAATATTTGTGTTCTTTGTGTGTAGAGTGTTCACTTTTCTGTCGTGTTTCATGATTTGTTCTTGGTTTGTTGTGTTTGTCGTAACACTAATGTATTGGTTACCTGTACAAATACAGAGTCTGCAATTTCGTCCTCTGCAGAAATCATGTCTCCTCTGGCCAAAATTTTTTGCTGAACCTGGAATGAATTGATAAAAAGGAGTTACAAACTGCAAATTTCCAATGAAGATAACGAGAAAGTTCTTTAGGGAAAATAGGCAGCATAAAAAGAGTATCATACCTCCTCCAAATAATTGTCTATTGATTCATCAGTAATAGAAGGATCAACTATGAAATCAAACAATTCTCGAATTGTCATAACAGCTACACCATGTCTTTTGAAAAAATCCTGCATGATCCACACACACACACATTAACTCATAGCCTTGATTACATGAAACTTTTTCTTTATTCAATTCAACATTATAATCATGACTTCTCACGGAAACAACTTACAGAGACATGAACACAATCTTCACGAAGGAAATCAAGTGCATGAGGATGGTCAAGATCAACTGATTGGGAGACATCGATAATATACAAGTGCCCCTGCCAAATAGGAGTATTTATGATTTACATATAATGAGAAGTGCAACTGTCACTCTGGAAAACTATAAATACTCACCTCAAAATAAAGTATGTTATATTCACTGAGGTCTCCATGCACAAGCTTGCACTTCTGATACAATGTTCTCATCGCCATAATCATCTGACAGAGATACCAAACAGTTAATAAACCATCATTGAAGTAAACAGGATAAAACAACCATCTGACAGACTTGCCCTTTTTGCAAGTCTGAACGGCATGACAACAAGGTGCATCCATTGTAATTAAGCAGGCCAGCATTTTACTGCAAGAACTGGAGATGTGATTTCATAATTAAATAACTGTGAAGGACCATCCTTTGTTGCATGGACACTTCAAAACAAATGTTATTACCCACATCAAAGACGAGAAATATGGATATTGGTAAATGATACATGTTGACCACACTTCCAAACACCTCGTGATACCATCTTCATATGACCCTTAAATGAATAATGAGTGAAACAAAGATACGTGCTCAAAATGCTTTGAATGTTAGATGGACCAAAAACCTATTTACACCTAAATGCATACACAAGTCATGTAACACAGCTCTACCTTCCTCATCATCTAAAGAATGTGTCCACCTATATAATCAACATAACTATGTGCTCATAATGGTAATGATGATTGTAATGTTTAACTAACATTGGTATAGTTGATCTTGTTTCAGATCATCTTTCTGCTATTGTACTTTATTTTTTTGATTTGTATCAATAAAATCCACTCCATTTAGGAAAAAAAAAAAAAAAAAAAAAAAACATTGTTATTGTCATACTAGCATTAACTATAAAGCAAAACCATGCTTGACTTCAAGAGAAACCATGACCACAAAAAACGTTGGCAAACATTAAGCCGAGTGGCAATATGAGGATAGATGTGACGTAAAATTAATCCATCGATAAACTAGAGGTAGCAACAATTTAATGACAAGTAGTCTAAGAAGATAAAGCACTGGCAACAGACCAAATATATATGATTGAACCAATAAATAAGACCAATTAATTCAAGTCGGAAGTGATAAAGAAAAGGAATGCCAAAAGAGCATGGGTGAAGCAATTAGAATAGACATGGTAGTGTATGATGTATGATTTAATGTAATATATATATATAGCCCCAAAATAGAGTTGACCTGCAAAGAAGGATCTGCACAGCTGATCCACACCATAAAATCACAGAAGCACATAGATCAAGACACACCTTAACAAAACCTTCATGTGAAGAAGGATTTATGTAGTGAACCACAAGTGGTTAAAAAGTAAAGTTGCTAAAGTAACCAAAATTTAGTAATAGTATCTAGACACACCTCCACATAACCTTCTCGTAGCTTGTCAAGAGATAAAGCAGCATCCTTAAGTCGAGGTGCCGCCCAACCTGACGTGCCTGTAATTACATAAAACCAATAAGAAACTTCAACCACTTAAAAGTGTAATTATTTCATAAGAAACAAATCTACATACTGTTGTAACTATCCGCTTAATTTTTTTTTTTCTCAGATGATACTCACACACATGCCTCCACTGAGGCTCGAACCCCTGACCTCCCTTTGGGAAGTAGGGGACTGGTATCGCTACGTACCTGGCCTTTCGGTCACTATCCACTTTAAAATTGAGCAAAAGATGTAATTCATGGACTAAAGATGGGTACGGTTCAATCATCCTGAACTTGACTGAGAACTTCCTATTGGATCCCAATCCCAACCATTATATAGAATAATAACTGGGGCCTATATCTCATTGATGTTTTCCAAAATGACAACATAAAGCCTATACATCTAAATGGCAATATGAGTATGAAAATATAATACCTATGAACTCCATGACCAAAACGTGAAGCCTCAAAATAAGAGGAGTTGGGCACCTGATTCCTGCAGTCTTTAGCCTGCAGTTCACCACCATATCATTAATCAAATTATAGCAAAATCTTCATAGTTCATATAAATGTATATATATACTTTCTTTTTTTTTTTTTTGCAAGAACATAAAATTGATATTCTTCAATATAAGTAAAGTTTCAAAATTTGCAACCCTCTCATAATTGGGAAATATCTACTAAAAGTTTAAAACCTCTGTAATTTCTCTTCTCTACAATGACTCAAATCACTACAAATAACTAAATTACAGTTTATTTTTTATTATTATTTAAAAAATAAATAAAAAGAGCTCCTTTAGTACCACCACTAGGAGAAGCAATCAAGATGAAACACAAGCCCAAGAAAAGACCATCATATGTCATATGGCATCTACCATATCTAACACATTCGATGCTAGAGCATTACACCTGCCATGTTCACAAATTATAAATTAAATCATATAATTTGTTATCTCAAATACTCACTTCACCAACTAAGTGTCTGACAAAACTTAGAATGACAGTCCACAAGTCTGATTATTCATCATGTAGCCACTACAATCTGGATTCTTTTAACATTAGTTCCATGAACTTACCGTAACAAAAATATTAAAATCCGCCCATTACATAAACCTCTTGATTTTAGTTATTACAGTCAAAAGGTCTACAAAATAGTTAGTTAATAGCAAGCATCAAGTGGCGAAAAAAAGAAGAAGCAAGCATCAAGTGACGAAAAAAAGAAGGAAACAGCCCTTCACATAGAGACAGAGTGAGAAGGCCCAATTTATATATAAGCAGAACTACCCCCCACCCCCCCCCCCCCCCCCCCCCCCCCCACACACACACACACACACACACAAAACAACACACACTTTCTCGTCCTTCAGTTGCATCCTGATATGAGTTTCTCTCATACTGTATGTTGCATCTAAATTTTTTTTCAAGGCTATTACTTTAATCAACGATCATATAGTTCATACATATACATCAGTATATTCTAGGGTTTGTTTCAAACCTGATGCATTACCCTCACTATTTCTTCCAAAATTTCAAATTAGAACAAAGGAGGCAGGTCGGGACAGGGCGGAGACACGGTTTGAGTTTCAATTTTGTGCGGGGATGGGATTTAGAGGAAAAACTCGTCCAGGGTTCAGAACGGGGATGGTATTCGGGATTGATAAACGGGGCGGGTAGGGTTCTCGAAAACCCATCCCAAACCCACCCTGTTGCCACGTGTGGGTGGGGGTGAAGGAAAATGGTTTACAATATGATTAAGAAACAATAAGTTCCTTATCGACACAATTGGAAATTTTACAAAAACTTTGAAATTCCATTCGCGTAGAAAAAAAAAAAAAAAAGATTAATTTTTCACCAGCGCAGTCATGGTCCAATAAAATTTTCTTGTCATCAAAGGTAACAAGGAAACATGAATTTAAAAATGAACATAAGTTTTCTTACCTCATAAGATTCCTCATTTCTTTCTCAGCCCATGTTTTAACCATCTTCCTGGGATTGTGCTTGCAGTATCCATATCTGAAACGGTAATCACCTTGTACATACCGATCTCTATCCCTGAAAGTTGTTAGCAACAAAAGATAAATAACATCAGGCATTGGTATTATATACTTCCTTAAAAATGGAACTCAGGTGCAAACTAGAGTTTTGAACAACAATAATAATACAAAAGGATATGGCATTTAAGAAGCATAAGTTTGAAAACAACAGTGCATAAGATAGACATATAAATACACATGACAATGATATTTAGCAGTGATGACCATTGTAATCGATCAGTATGCATCTACTTTCCTTTTAAAGGAGCCCGCCCTAAAAGGGATTGGAAGACAACTGACAAAAAAACTTATACATCAACTCAAATGAACCATGCCACTAATCTCTTGGCAAACTGATATATTTCTAGGGTATCGAGGTAGCAAGGTCCAAGGAAGAATTTCTCTTTCTCAAATGAACCATGCTGCTAATCTCTTAAGGGAGATAGGCCTCATGAGGATTAAGCCTGTTGACACAACATATTCAAATGAAAATTTTGACATAGATAAAGGTCAGTAATTTGATGATACAGGAGGTATAGTGGAAAAGCTTAAATTCTTTACTGTCACAAAATGACATCTGCTTTGCTATTGAAGTTGTTAGTCAGTTTATGCACAACCCTATATAAAAGCATTGGGAGGTCATGTGTCGCATTGTGAAATATCGTTGAAAGAGCTCCAGTCACGGGTCTATTATTTGACATTGTTGGGTTTTCTGACAGGAAATACATTGATACAAAGTCAATTTGTAGTCTTTGTACTCTGATTGCTTCCACCCTAGTTATATACAGAAGTAAGAATTAGAATATTGTGACTAGATGACTAGAGGGCCAGCTCGACCTTTGAATAAGTTAATGTGGCCGCCTTAGACCCCCAGTGAAAACAAGTTAATCAGTATTAACTTGTTCTTGGCATTACAACAAGTTAATTGTGAGCAATCAGATGTTTAAGGGAAGATAATTATTTGTTATTGGGAATACAAGCATTTTAGTTCCAAAAGGTATGGATGCATTAATATAGATTACATGCTTACTGTTAGCATATATGATACCACGATTTATGGTACCATAAATCGTGGTATCATATATGCTAACACTTACATCTAATCCATACCTCATTCTTGGTATTACAGCAATATATTGTGAGTAGTTAAATCTAAATGAAGATGACTATTAGACATTGGCACAACCAACATAATTTTCTCCAGAAATTATGATGCATAGACTATGATTCCATCCAGTCATTGCAACAAGATAAAGGGTCACTCAACATACTTGAATACAAGTACAGAAGTTTTGTACACTTTGATCGCCAGTTCCTGCCCATCAGACTTTGTAGCATGATAAACATTTGCCTGTTCCAAAAATAATAATAATAATAATAATATTAATGAAAACCAAAGGAAAGGTCACCCATGAATGAAAAATTCCCTAAATTACTGTCAAGGTATTGAATATTAAATATGGTGATTCAAGAAAAATAACAGCTTGAAGGTAGTTACATACTTCTTTCCCAGTTGAAATGCAGCCATTGATATCATGAAATACACCCCGATTCAGCATTTTGAATAAAACCATGCGAGTCCTAGGATCAATTGCCTGAAAATCAAGACAAGATTTTTCAATGCAAAATCAAGAGGTCCTTGGATGTGGGATGCAGTGATGTCATAGGATTCATAGAGATTTCAAAAGCAAATAGTTAGATGATCCTAAGAGTATGTGCGTGAACAATAAACTGTGCTCCACATAAAAGGCATGTGTGCAACCCATGTAGGTGCGAAGACACGCAAATGCATGCAAAGGATCTGATCCCGAAATTTAACCATATGCCAAATCTTTACACGAAAAGGTTAATCAAAAGTTTTACCTAGAAGTCTGGATTACATAAAGAGTAACTCATCATGAATCCAAAATACAAATAAAACATTTATAAAATGAAATTACAATAGATGCATCACAAAATATCACTTTTGTCACAAAAAAATTGGATAAAACTGATAAACAAAATTAGTGTAAGCAAGATACAACTAATAATTATATACACATCCACAAAAAATAAAATAAAATAAAATAAAATAAAATAAAAAAATGGTATTAATTTTTTAAGAAAATGCATATTGAGATAACAGGATATAATGAAATTAAAAACAAGGAGTTAATGTTTACTACAATTCACCTGCTCAACAGTAGCACGATCTGCCTTTTCAGTTGTTTTAGTTTTACCAATGGCCATTTCTCGAACACTTCCACGAATTGCAGTTGTCACGGAGTTTGACATGCCAACATTGAATCTTCCCTCCCATTCCTGCACAATCAACAAATTGTAAGAAGAAATAAAACATAGAAGAACATGCATGCATTAATGACACCGCCCAAATCTATTTCATACTTGTGTCCATCATCCTGGGAACAACATTATCAACTAACAAAAATTAAAATAACCACAGGAAGTAATAGAAGAATAGACATCATAATAGACATTTTAAAGCATGTCTCTACACTCTTGTCTCACTAAAATTTCACAAAGCCAAATTTACCATTTCCATATACATTTTCTACACCAAAATAAAAAAAGGATATAACATATTCAACTAAATATCAGAATCCAATGTTTCCAATATGTATCCTCGATGGCATTTTACATTGCCTGACTAAATAAGCATAACTACCTTGAAAAACAAAGTTCACCAAGGAACTCGGAGAGAGGCTCGGTATTAAGTTTATGAAAATTCAGTGTTCACACCTACCATTGGGTTTCTAAGAGAAGGGGAAAAAAAGGTTCAATAACATTCTTTTTCCCAGTAGCAAGACCATTACTAAAACATTAAAACCCACCACAAGGCCAGACACTCAAAGCCCAACTACAAGGATGTTTCTATTTTATCAGGTAAAAAGTAATAAGAACTTGAAGATTCAATATATTGGATCCATTTTGTTTACTCTTAAATTTCAACAGCAAACAAACAAAAACAGAGAGCAGACTAAAATAAAGTAAAAGCAAATATAAGTATACCTCTAAAGGAGAAGCTCTGATGTGGTTGGAGTACTTCTGATTCCTGTTCGAGAGAGGTTGGAGTGAAGACGTATTAGGACGAGAATGAAGCCCTCCATGAGCATTGGGACGCCTTGCATGGAGCGTAAAAGCTCCATCTACAGTATTAGTGTCGTCCTTCGCATCTAAATAGTCCAAAGCATCCCCGACTTCAGAGTCTGACGACCATGAAAGCTCCTCCTCTTCTTCTTCATCTTCAACTTCTTCTTCTACCAGTCGATCTCCTTCCTCAGGTTTTTCTACAGTAATTGACATCCCTATTGTTGCCACAAAACTAACTTCCCATTATGTTTTCCCCAAAATTTAATTCCTCCATTGTTTCAATGGAAAATTTTGCCAATAAAGCTTATATATTTAGCTTTAGTAAAACAAAATTAATATACAGAGAGCAAAAGAAACTTAATTAGGAAACTTTTTACCATATTCCCATTCAAAATTAGGGAAACAAATGGCAAAGAACAAAGTCCCAATCAAAAGCATGAAAATTTTACTAAATTAAAAAAGCAAACATCACAAAACCCTAAAAAATAGCATAAAACCTCAATGCACTGCTTCAGTATTTCACAGACTAACAGAGAGAACAAGAAAACAAACAATAATGACATACAGAAAGAAAAACACTAGAGATTAAGAATGGAAAATAAATTAATACATCATTTACGACAGAAACTAAACGAATCCCTAAGCCAAATGAAAAATTATGCAAAATTACCTGATCTGACGATTAGGATTTCGAGTTGAGAAAGTGATGCATGACGGTGAGCGGATTGTGGGAGCATCCGGCTCCTGTACAACGGTGTATGGTCGGAAAGGGAAGTTAGAAGAGAGAGAGTGAACTTGGTGGTAGCTGCAGCTCCACAGCTGGTCGCGGCGGATGTTAGGTGGCGAAAGAGGAGCGAGAGTGAGGTATTATTTTTCAAAGCATTAAAACTTAAAACCTTGATTGAAATTTATTCATTATAAAAAAATATGGGTTGTGTGAAAATCAAAAAATAAATAAATAAATAACGACAGTACTTAGGTCCTCACTAGTGAGGATTTACGCTATCCTCGCCACATATGCAGGGTCGGCCCTGAGATTTCAAATATTTTGAAAGGCCCTAGGCGAACTTTCATGTGAGGCCCTAAAGTTTCACACGCGCAAAACAAGATGGTGAGTTAGTTGCTCATATTCTCATGCATTGTCCTATGGCAAGGGATTGTTGGAATCTTATCTTTTGTCTGTTTGGTATGCATTGGGTTATGCCTCATTATCCTAAGGATTTGATTCGTATTTCGAGAGGATGCCGTGTGAATAGTGTTGTTCGCGATTCTTGGAGAGTTGTACCACATTGTTTTTGGTGGTGCATATGAAAGGAGAAGAATAGTAGAATGTTCGAAGGGGAAGAATCGTCCACGGCGATTCTGAAACTTCACATCATCCGCTCTCTTTTCAGTTATGTGAAGAGGAAGTCCTGTTCCTCTCCCGATGATTTAATTATTTTTTTGGCTTCTTTGGGGCCTTAAACCCCGGTTCTACTTTTGTATAAGGGATGTGTTCCCGTCTTGAACGCCTTTTTTATTCAATTATTACTTATAAAAATAAAAAAAAAAGTTTCACACACGCAAAAAAATTATAAAAGTGCGGAATTTTCACACGATGTCTTCAAATTTTATAGCTAATATAATTATGCGTCTGTGCATTGTGCATAAGACAACTAACTAATAACTACAAATTTATCACCACCAACAAATAATTGTGCGCCTGTACAATATGCATAAGACAACCAACTAAAAACTATAATTCTATCACCACCAATAAATAATTGTGGGTCTGTGCAGTGTGCTTAAGACAACTAACTAAAAACTAAAAAATTTTATCACCACCAATAAATAATTGTGCACCTGTGCAGTTTGCATAAGACAACTAACTAATAATTATAAATCTATCACCATCAATAAATAATTATGCGCATGTGCAGTGTGCATAAGACAGGTAATTAATAACAAGAAATCAACGGCACAAAAAATGTATAAGAATGCAGAATTTTCATTAATATGAGATGATAAGAACATAAAATATATTAATGTTGAAAACACGCAAAAGAAAATCCGGTCTTGGTGCTTTAAAAAGGGCACGATCCAGTTTACGTCAAAAAAATTAAAAGGAAATATTCAACACAACTTAGTCACAAAAATCAAAATTCAACTTTATATCAAAGTAAATGTTCTAGGCAAATAACCTCACGAGATCCTAAGAAGAGTGTCCTCAATATGCAATGATTTGATTCAAGTTCAAAGCAAATAACCTCACGAGATCCTAAGAAGAGTGTCCTGCTAGCATGTGAAAGAATATCACAATTAACATAAAACAGATGGAGAATCAAAGCCGTTCATACAATAAATATAATATAAAAAAAAATGTAAAATCAAGCAGTTTGGTCGAATGATCTCCTGGCTGGAGTTTTCAGTGGAGCTTTGTGTGTGTTTTGTGTGTTTTTTTTTGGGAGCCAATTACCCCTTTCTTGATTTCAGGATGAGGAATCAACTTTAGTAGCAGTGATTGATTGATCATTGCTACAGAAGACCTGTGCAAATTAATAGAAAAACCCATTAACTTTTGTTTTGTTAAAGCCTGCTCTTGATTTCCATGTGTGTGTACATTCTGATGGCATGTGCTTTGAGCCTTTGACAGTATTATTAACTGAAATTCTAGCTGAGCCAACTTCAAATAACATCAATAATGGTGGTATGTATCTTCATATAAAAATAAAAATAAAAATAAAAAAACCCTTAATTTGGCACTTTTAAGTATGAGCATAATTTAGAGATCGAAAAAATTAATCCTCAACCCACTAGAAGGGATACTTAATTTTCGTAGGATTGAATGTGAAAATGCAAAAAATTATGAGGAAAAGGGGTATGGTTGCTGCTGTTGTGGGACTGGAGTGGACTTAGGGAGAGGAAAAAAAAAAAGAAAAAAAGATCGATTCATGCAAAAGGAGAGAGGAGAGAGAGAGGATGAACATACCTTGTCACGGTGTCACCTGAACCTGAGGCGATAGCGGAGGCTGCGTCCTGCGGAGTGTCGAAGCAGATTGTGTCGTCTAAAATTTGAGACTTGCCCTAACTATTTGTTTTTCCTTTTTTTTTCCTCCATCCCCTATGGGCCTCAAAATTTTGAGGCCCTCTAAAATCGGAGGCCCAAGTAGCCTTGGTAGCCTTGGGCCAAGGCCGGCCCTGGATTTAAGTCACATAGAAATTTTGAAAACGATTGAAGATTCTCCTTTGTATGCATCTCTCTAGTGGTGTTCGGTTATTTCTCATCTCTCTCTATTATTTCTTGTTCTCTTTGGACCTTTTTTTTTTTTTTTTTTCGGAGCATATATGAAAAGGGTACCAGTTTTACCCAGGAAAAGTGTTACAGTTTTAAAGTACTTTTATTTTTAGTTTTTGAACAATCATTCCTGAACCAATGTTATATTAGGGGTGCACACAGTTCTGGTTCTCACGGTTCCGGCCGGAAATGGAACCGGAACTGAATAGATTAAAACCGAACGGGAACCGAACGGTTCGGTTCCGGTTCAGTTCCATGAGAACCGTTGACCATGCGGCTGAAGCTTGAGAACACGAACAAGAACATCAGCGATGGTATGGGTTTTGATTTTTTGAACAATCAGATTCGTGTGGTTTTATGTTACTAGTACTTGTTATTAGTGTTCAACAATTTAAAGCAATAATTCAGGGAGTTCTGCACCAACATTCATCCCAATCAATTCATCACCCTTAAGCACTCTTTCATTAACAACGTGAGCAATTATCAAGAAGGAAGCCAATCACGGGCTTTATTGGGCCACCAAATCAACACTGATTCTTGTAGATTTTGTAAATTGCAGTTGGAGAGAGAGAGAGAGAACACTGATTCGTGTTGATTCTTGTAGATTTTGTAAATTGCAGTTGCAAAGAGAGAGAACACTGATTCTTGTAGATTTTGTAAATTGCAGTTGCAGAGGGAGAGAGAGGGGGTTGGGGGGGGGGGGGGGGGGGGCGTGTTGGTTTCAGATTTGTTGATTAGTCAGTATTCATGTGGCTGCTTGTAGGCTTTAGTTTAGAATGCTTAATTAATTAATTAATTAATTAATTATATATATATATATATATATATATATATATATACGTTTCCGGTTCTTACCAGTTCTCATGGGCTGAAACCGAAATCATATACTCACAGTTCCGAAATTAAGAACCGGGATCGGAACCAAAACCTTGAGAACCAAAAAAAACAATTCCGATTCTCACGATTCCGGTTCCACAATTCCGGTTCTTTTGTGCACCCTTATGTTATATAATATAAATGTTGCATGGCATTCTTTGTTGCGTGGCTTCGAACATTTCCTGGTTTCACAGTCCGATGTCTTGCGTCATGGTTTCACATTCTAACAGTGCCAACTCCACAAGAATAAATCAACATCTAATTTATTTATTTTTTTATTATTAGCAAGAAACTCGCATTAACTTTTTTAGAGACTCAAACCTGAAAAAGGCCCTTGGTAATCAACATTTACTTAGGTCCATAATATCTTGATGAGAATCCAAATGGGCAATAGCCCAACTTGTATAAGCCCTCCATTTAATGGGGTGGTCGGGTGTTCATATATATATGTATATTCATTTACACTTCTTAATTTACCAAACCAAGTGCTAAATCCACAAATTAAATAAAAGACTTCCAAAAAAACTAGAGAATAGAATTTTATTTATTTTTTAGTATCCTGCTACAGGTTCAACAGCATTTATAAAGCTTTGTCCTCGTCATTTTTGTTTTTTTTTTTATTAAATTTAAAATCTAAATTATCAAGTCAAAACTTATATTAGTGTTCGACAAAGCTACACACTGTCCACTATACAAAGCTTTATATGAAGCTGCCAAAGTTTGTACAGTGCGACAATACCATTAAACATCCCTCCTCCTCCCTCCTCCTCCTCCTCCTCCTCAATCAAACACGAATGTCAACATTCTTTATCCACCCATCCTATCCTTCCCTTCCTCCTCCTCCTCTTCAATCAAACACGAATGTCAACATTCTTTATCCACCCATCCTTCCCTTCCCTTCCCTTCCCTTCCCTTCCCTTCGTGCTACCCTCTAATCCATCCTTCCCTCCAACCAAACATACCATTAACCTTCATAAATCAACAAAACATACATTATAAGTAAATTATGATGATAATGAGATGACAGTGATACTTGAAGGCTTGTGACAAACATGAATTGTTAGGAAAACCCACGACCATTGAAATCAGAAAGAGGAATTAAAAACCACAAAAAGAAATAGTAAATGAATAACACCACATAAGCCCTCAGATCTCATAGCTATTACGATTCATTGACAGTTGAAGTCTTATGGCTTTCATTAAAAGCCTCTCCCCGCCAAAATAAAATAAAATAAAATAATAATAATAATAATAAAAATGGTGGTGGTGGTGGTGGTGGTGGTGGTGGTGACGACGGTTGTGGCAATGATAACGATGGAGAGGCTCCTAATGAAAATCAAAGCAACCGCTCCACAATATGAGTTTTCCATCATAGGGCACATCAAAGAAGACTAAACTTTTCAATCATAAATTGCAAAGCAATTATTAGATGAATCTCAACACAAAGCAAGAGCTCTTGCTCAAAGAAAGGACAACATCCAAAAAGCAAAGGGCAAAATTTCACGTCAATAACGATCATAACTAGGCAAAAACAGAAAATAAAACAAAAACAAAAAACACAACCTTACACAATCAAACATGCCAATGCATCATGAAAAGACCACACATTCATTTTATATGCAAAGCATGGAGCATCAGCGGTGGTTGGAACAAAGACATATTTTGTTATGACTCAAATTTGACACAGAATAATCTGCAAAGACAAATCATAATTTGCGAAGATAAATCAATACGTAAAGTCACACGCCCATTATTCATTTTCTCATCAGAGAATTTCCTTCAACTATTCATATCTAACAACTAATACAATATTGTGGAATTGAAGGGAAATATTCAAATACATGTCTTGTTTCATTATATACACATGTAGAGTTATAGTCTTATCGAGTCCTTAGAAGTACCATTAGGATAGACCAGTTCAATTGCACAAACCCCATCCACACTGCCAGGTAAGTTCAATGGTACATGAATTACCACAAACATAAAGACAAGTAGAAAAAATAAAAATTGTTAAATGTTAAAAATCAGGAAAGTATGAACATATTCACAGTCAAACAATGGGTTTCGGTAGCTCAGACCAAGTTGTACCGTAATTAGCACAGAGACCCAATAACTACAAGATCCATCTACACTAGCTGATTCCTCCTTCATCTTTTTTTTTTTCCACCTAGCACAAAAAGTAGCACCACCATTTGGGCTTTAAGTCTAGATGTTGGAATCACAATAGAAATGAAATGATTTTAGAGCCCTCAGATCTCATAGCTTCAAATCATCAATGGTTTAAATCTAATGGCATTCATCAAAAGCCTTGCCCACCAACATAAATAAATATACTAATAAATATGTAAATTAAAGGGAGGTCAGTGTACCCAACGGGCCGGTGGCCTAACAGTTTCAGCTTCTTACTTTCCAAAGGAAAGTTAGGGGTTCAAGTCTCAATAAAGACGTGTGTGTGTGTGTGAGTACCAACTAGGAAAAATAGATGTCAATGTAATTTACACAAAAACACGCACTGAATGTGTGCATCATAAAAGGGGGAGGAGGAGGTGATGGTAGTGTGGTAAGGCTAGTGATGAATGAAAACCATGAAACCATTCAATATTATAAGATTTTCCATCATTGGGCAACCAAGAGATGGCATGTGCTATACATCTTTTTCCCACAGAGAATACTGAGATTAAGTGTTGATGTAAATGAACTCATAGATTGGGTATTGACAGTTTACAAACCTAAAAAAGAACTGATAAAGAGGATATCAGAGAGAAAAACTAGCTTTATGTAAATGCACTCCATATTTAGTTTTTGAAGTTTTTTAAGGGCATAGTTCCCTTTTAAAATTACCAATTTGTCCTTTCTCAGTTTATATATATATATATATTACCAAGTTTGAATTTTTTTAAAAATATAAAGGGCAATAATGGAAATATGACATTTATTTGCTTTGACTTTTATAAGAGGACAACTAATTTGAGACATCTAAAAATGGAATAGTGGACTACTATAACCGGTGGGCGCTTGCCCATTTACCCAAAAATTCAAGCCGTTGGGTGGTGCTTCATACGCACCCATTTATACCCAATCACTTTCCCATCTGCCATCTGGATCCGATGTGGAACAAGTGACCCTTGTTACAACTACTAATATGGGACAAAGATAGTACTCAATATTGAACTAATTGGAACATGAAGATGAAGGAAGAATCTTCAAACACAATGAAGGAATGTGCAAGAATTTGCAGACAAGCAAAAGGCAAAAAAGAACAAAATATTCAAGACTGACAAAAAACTATCCTAAGTCACACATACAAAGGCGAATATGAAATACATCCACCACTCAATACTACACAATTTCTATGAGGCCAAAAAGGGTCTAATAAACATTAATACTTAAAAAAAATTACAACTTGTAATTTGAGAGAAATTTTGAATAATTCAAACCTAATGCTAAATTTTAAGGACAATTAAAAACGTCAAATGACAAATGAAAGAAAACCAATGATTCCTAACACCAATGCATTTCAAATGCATATATGTCTCCAGAAAAAACACTTAAAAGTCTTCCGTCCACCTTTCGAATGCATATATTTGAAAGTTACAAAATCAACACTTCACTACAAATTCACATTCACACCCGAATTATAAAGAATTATTATAGTTTAAAAAGGGTCAGATAGAGCTTTATAGGCTGCATTCACACTACATATCAATAATATAGCACATAATCTATTCAACTAATAGAACATTTATTCTATGTAGATCTTCCATTTTTGCGAACAATCTAAAATTGAAATAGCTGGTGAAAGAGCCCTCAGATCTCACAGCTTTGAAGCTAACGTCATTCATCAAAAGCCTTTACACACCACCATGAAAATAAATAAATAAATAAATAAAGAATAAATTACACTTACATCCCCGGAGGTGGTAGTGGTGGTGGTGGTGGCGGCGATAGTGGTGGTAAAGGCTATTGATGGACAGAAACCATTAAATTGTTGAGATTTTCCATCATCGGGCAATCAATGGAGAGAGCATGCTTAAAATTTTCCACGCACTCACATATATAAACATAGATATACTGATAGACATAAAAACTCATGTAAATATATAAAATAGATATAGAGACGAACTTGTATGAAATAAAATGGCGAGGGGAAGGGCGTACTGTGTTTGATGGCGGAGTCGCCAACAATAGGGGTGCACACGGTTCCGGCTGGAACTGGAACCGGAACCGTATAGCATGGAACCGAACCGGAACCGAACCGGAGAAATGGTACGGTTCCGGTTCGGTTCCCATGGAACCGTTAACTCTCAGGCAAGCACGGAGCTTCAGACGGGTTAGGACCGTTACGTTTCGGCATCGGAAAGAGATGAGCTTGAGAGCTTAGTCGCCGATGCTCGCAGATCTGCGATCGCATTTCAGAGAGAGTTTAGTCACCGCATCGAACCTCGAAAACAGAAACGGAACCACCGAGAGCAGATCGGCTTGGGCGTTGAGAGAGAGACGGTGACGGCTCTGTCCCTCGATCTGAAACCACCGGCAACAGACGAGAGAGCATCGTTTCCGATTACCGGAGCCAAGCGACTGGAATATGCAAGCTAAGCACTCGTCGGGAAGGTTGGAGATGTAGTCGGGGAGATCAGGAGCGTCGGATAATGATGTCCTCAATTGACCAACATGCCGGCGTCGGTTAACTCTCGGCAAGCACAGAGCTTCAGACGGGTTAGGTTTCGACATCGGAAAGAGATGAGCTTGGGACATCTGTACTAAATTACTAATCCCAGCTTTTCATCTCTGCTGCATAATCTTGAATCTTCCACCTCATCAACTGAAGGAGCCTCGCACCCAAGAGCTGATCTATCAGTATCATCTCTCAAACCACTAGATTTTGTAGTTTACAGACTTACAGTTGTAGAGAGAGAGAGAGGGGGCAAGTTCAGAGTCGAGAGAATAGAGATGGAGATTGGAGGCGATTGGGGAGGCTGAGGCTCAAATTAGGGCAAAAAACTAAAAAAAATTAGCTATATATATATACACGGTTAATTTTATATAATATATATATAATTATATATTATAATATATATATATACACACATAGGTTCGGTTCTTACCGGTTCCACAAGTTGGAACGGGAACCATATGTATACGGTTCCTAAACTCGGAGCCGGAACAGTGAGAATCGTGAAAAACGGTTCTGGATCCAACAGTTCCGGTTTCGATTCCATGGTTTCGATTTTTTTGTACACCCCTAGCCAACAAAGTGTGATTATAGGGTTTATGGAGATCTGAAATGAATAGCCCTAGAACATCTTTTTTCTTCAGTAGAATGAAGTGCCCTTTTTACCTTCGTAACCTTTGTCTCGGGCTTGGTGCATGAAGGTTTTTATAATACACCTAAGATTTTGAGTCCCAAATTGTTTCTCTACCATTTTGAAGTGTTTTTTATTTTTTAAAGTGTTTGAATGTAGTTACAATTTTGAGTTTTTGAAATTGGGTAAATGTTGAATATGTTAGATAATTTTTTTTAATCAATTATGTGTTTTTTATTTTTTAAAAAGATAATTACACTCATCTATTAATAAAGTTGTAATTATCAAATATGAAAATGTTTTAAAAAATATTATTACAAAATAAATTAAAAATTAATTTAAATATGAAAAGTATTCATTATAATGTATCACTAAACACCTAATACGCGTTTTACTAACTGCAATTTTTTTTTTTTTAGTTAACCCGGGGTGTCAGTAATGGCACGAACCCTTAGGGCCCCTCAACAACACGACTAATCCCGAAGACCCAGAAGGGCACCTCCCCACCCGGACCGGGGTAAGTCACTGCAGGGATAACGGAGGCTAACCATAAAAAACACCCAGCGGGATTCGAACCCCAGACCTTAGGCTTACTAAGCTCTAAAGTCTAATGACTAAACTGTTGGGCCATATCCGAAGTGAATAACTGCAATTTTTTGTTAGATAATTAGAGCGCGTTGATGTTTGAAATTGTTACTCTACTACTTAAAAATATTTTTATTTTAAAAAGTTTTGTTTAAATGTTTTTAATGGTTGCCAAATTTATTCATACACTAATGCTAATAAGATTAGCATACTTTAATAAATGAAAAGAACTTCTTTTGAAAAATAATTTTTGCATTGACTACTTGCATGAATTGCTAAATTTATTATTTTTAATTTTTCATACAATAAATAAAAAAGTTTGATCATCCCACCTAATTGTATTTTAGCATGAATAACTATTTAGTTACACAATTCACTACAAATTTATGATATGATTATCACAACTCTATAAGTTCAATGGGTGATAGATAGTATTTATGCAAGTATTTCATATTATATAACCTTCCGAAAAAAAAAAAAGTATTTCATATTATATAAATGACACTGCCAGCATCATACATCAGAATCAGTCCAAATGTAAGAAATCAAGAATGTAGGACTGTCCTAATCCATACGTTTCTATCAACCAATTGTTTTAAGTGGCCGGGCCCCGGCTTTAACATCAACCAGGACAAGTATTGTCTCAGTATAACCGAAGTCTAGAGAGAGAAGGAGAGTAGATAGAGAGAGAAGACGGCCGTGGTCGGCAGCAAATCACGCACACGAATCACGATGGTTCAAAGTCGAATAGTGTTGTTTGTGTTCAAGGATTGGGTTTGGCCACAGACATTGTTAGAATTTCAGAGATGGCCAAAAACTTGCCATACCTGAAATTCTTGCTCATCTCGCTGTTGTTGCAGTACCACGTGAATTGGGTCACCGCCAACGCAGCTCAATGGCACGGCGGAGGTGGCGGCGAGCAACCACTGTCCAAGATTGCAATTCACAGGGCCGTTTACGCGCCCCGCGATTCGGCTTCTATCACAGCCTATCCTCTCCTCCTTGGCATAAAGGTAACACTTTGTTACTCACTTTGTATCGTTTCTCCACAGGAAAATGATATATAGTCTATTGCTGTGAGTGAGGGTTAAAATCAAGAGGACATCACTGATGGAGATAGAGATGACGATGTCAGCCCCCACACACAATAGACTGTTTTATTCGAGTGAGGGTTAACATCGCGAGGACATGGTGAAGATTAGAGTTAACATCACTAGAACATGACGAAAAAATCATGATGTCAGCCCCGCTCACATAAAATCAGTCGGAGTTGTTCGACTGATGACTATATATTAATCAAACACATTAAATTTCTAAGTACATTTACAAAGTGATGGGACATTGTCACCTATTTTTCTTAGTATTTTGTAACTGTGCAAGCGGTCCCTTCCTTTTATTAGTTCTCTGTATGTGAGTTGTTTATTGATCTTGTGTGTGTATTATATATAAACAATTTATTTACAATAGTTAATCTACATCTTTAGAATGTTATGATGTAATCATGTAACTCTGTACATATATCAATCAAATGCTGATTTTTTGTTTTTATTTTTAATTTTTGGAAGACTCTGACTCCCAATCATGTTTTATATATAGATTACACTTTACAGCTGTATCCCTTGAATCAAGATGTCAGAAAAAAAAACATAATAAATCTAAAATTTGAAAGAAACCCTTGATTTTATGACTCAATTTTAGATGTTTTGTAATGTCTGTATCAATTTTAGAATCTATTATTTAATTGAAACCCTTCTTTGTGTAGATTTTAAGGGCTTGTATAATTTAAGTTTTATGAGAACAATTTTATGATATTGTCGATTTCTTGTTAATTGTTTTTAGCAAACTAAACCAAACAAGCCTTAAGTGACTGATTTCACTTTATTATTTGAAGTCCACATGTGGCTCTTATATATGTTCATGCAGTTTATTGAAATCTAGGGTTAAGTTTTCAATTCTTATAAAAAAAGTCACACCCCTCAAATTTATTTATCAAAGCAGCGCCATGATTTTTAGCACTAATGATCTTTAACATCCAATTGATGGATGTCTAATTATTTTGCATTATTATTAAATGTAATGGTTATGACCCAAATGAAATGCTGATAACCAATCTTCAAACATTCTGTTCACGAGCTCGAAACAGATTTCAGATATGTAATAAGATCCAAAGTTTGAGCATTGAAATGGAATCAATTTTGCATAATACATAAACAAAGTTGGAACTTATTGCAGCAGATATTTCGATTTTCGACAAATTTAGTCACTGTTTCGTGTATTCGTGGATATAAATCCCATACCACAGTGTTCTATGTGTATACTGCTCCAAGAATCTGCTCTTGCAAATCTTAAGTGGCTGAGAAGACACTGAATTCAGGACTTATGTTTGAATCAATATGTAGGGAGAAGATGCTCAGTGGATAACTGTGGAGCTCAGACACACTGATCGTTCCGATGATGATTGGGTTGGGGTTTTTTCTCCTGGAAAATTCAAGTAATGTCCACCTCAGTGCCTCTTCCGAAATTGATTGTTGAACTAATTCTACTTGGAGTGTGACTGCACTAAGAATTAGATATTCACATCATCACATGCAATATATAATTTTCTCTCAATGTAGTAATTCCATGACCAAAAACACGCACATTGTTTTTGATGATCACATTTAAGGATTTATGATTTTCCGTATTTTATAGCAGAGAGATTTTAAAAGAACCATTTTGTTATGGCAGCTCATCAACGTGTCCACCTGAGGACGAACCAAGACAAGTAGCTCCCTATATATGCTCGGCCCCAATAAAGGTGTGTCTATGCATTGTTGTATTCTAAATTTAATTCCATTTTCTGGTATGAAAACCAAATAAAAAAACCATCAGACTCGTTTAACTTCTCTAACAAATTCCATTATTTTCAGTACAAGTATGCCAATGACTCCAATCCTGATTATACAAAGACCGGCAATGCATCTTTGAAGTTCCTATTAATCAATCAGCGGGCAGACATCTCATTCGCATTGTTTGCAGGAGGGTTATCAAATGTGTGGTCATGTCTATTCTCTTTCTACTGCAATTTTGCTCCATCAACATGTTATATGTGTTTTTCAGTATTTTTATCAGTTGATATTGTACAGTTATGTTTTTTTTTTTTTTTTTTTATATTCTATTTCTACTTCTTCTTTTTAATGAGCATATTTTAGTCCTCATCTATAACATTCCTGTATATTGCAGCCAAAATTGGTCGCCATTTCAAATATTATAAGCTTTGCAAATCCTAAGGCGCCCCTTTATCCGCGCCTTTCACAAGGGAAGTCTTGGAATGAAGTAAGCTTCTTTTTATTTTCTTAAACTTGTGATTTTTGAAGCCTGACTTTAGTCACATTCATCTATCTACATGAAATGGACTACTAAATTAATTCAAGTTCAAGGAAGTGCTTAATTAGGTGACAGTTTACTGTCAGATCGGCATAAGTTTCAATTTTTTTACTATTACCTTTTGTGTCATGAATTTCAGTAAAAACCTAAGGATATGATATCCATCTGTATGATTGAGATACTGCCGATGGTTTCCTTTTGATGATATTATTCCTGCATTTGCCATGAATTTAACGCTTTCCAAATGATTTGATCTTCTTATTTACTTCAATGTAGTTTTTTTTGTTGACATTGTATTGTATTTACGCAGATGACAATAACATGGACAAGTGGCTACAACATTATTGAAGCGGTTCCTCTTGTTCAATGGGGCCTCAAGGGAGAGTACCAAAGTTACTCACCTGCCGGAACATTGACATTTCATCGAAATAGCATGTGTGGTATGGTCAATCCCCTCCATTAATGACATCACTGCGATTTTTCTCTCTCGTGAGCTTTTATTCATGACTATGACAAAGTTGTTCTATTAATGTGCAGGTGAGCCTGCACGAACAGTTGGTTGGCGAGATCCTGGTTTTATACACACAAGCTTCTTAAAAGATTTGTGGCCAAATTCAGTGTACGCATTATATGAATCAATTTCATATTATAACAATGTTAGGAGAAACAATGTATATTCTGAGGGCTGTTAATGATTATTTGTTCAGGTACACATACAAGCTTGGTCATAAGTTGTTTAATGGAACCTATATCTGGAGCAAGATATATTCTTTCAGATCATCACCATATCCAGGGCAAGACTCATTGCAGCGTGTTGTGATATTTGGCGACATGGGAAAGGTATTACCACCAAAAGGAGATATATATAGAGCAAGTGTTGGTGATATAAATATTTCAAAAACACCCTCTCTAACAATCTTCTCATTTGGGTAAAATGGATGCCTAACATAGCATCAAAGCCAGAAGGTCCTAGATTCGAAATTATAAGACATGCAGATGCTTGGCCCATTCAGGTCTGAGAGTCCGTTGACTCTTGAGGGGCCATGTTGATGCAAATATTTAAATTACACCTTCTGTAAAAGATTAAACTTTTGTGGGTAATCGGTTGTCTATTAGAAAGAACTATAGTTTATTTATGTGAGAATGGTTCAAGTTTACCTAAATGTTCTCTGTAGATTTCATTTTTCTTTTTATCTTTTTTTTATTGTGACCATTACTGATTGGACTATTACCATTTTTTATTAAATTAATCATCAAAGCTGTTGTACTTTGATTATCTTCTTTTTTATAGTTTTCCTTGTTATCGAAATGTCTGTTCTCTTATGTTCAGTGATATCTTTAGTTACCAGCTTTTTCAAAAATGTTGAGTGGACAGTGTCAAGTGTCAATCCACTCTATTTCACTCCCCTTGAAACTACTATAAACACCTTTTGTTATTATATGGACTCGGATAAGTGTATTGCGTGGGTATGTCTAGGCATCGGACCTCCCTAAATCCCAAATTTTAGGACTTGGGGTTACTTGGCTTCAAATATGTCCCAAAGTTAAGCATGAGTTCATATATGCATCATGCAGATATAACTACATTACATGTTTCTATAATAATATAACATCTGATTTTATTGTTCCACACACACACACAAAATGAAAATTTAATTAAAAAAGGGATGTGGTTGAAAGGAGGATTACATTTCAAGAATAGGAAAGCCTTTTTTGTTATCAAAATGAGCCTTTTCTTCTTCCATCATCGCATGTAGAGAATTAAGGTCACGGATTTGAGTTAATGTCTCAAACTCATATTCTGTACCGATCACTCATGCCATGTCAGGTTGACATATGTGTTGGGCAATATAGAAGAGTTCATGAAACACGGGTTTTTTTTTCATCTATAGCGGAGTAGATATGTATTTCTTTTTACTACTTACGAGTTGCATGATCTTTTTCACATGTTTCAGGCAGAGCGTGATGGTTCAAACGAATACAATAACTATCAACCTGGCTCACTAAACACCACAGATCAACTGATCCGGGACTTGGATAACATCGACATAGTTTTCCATATAGGAGATATCACATATGCAAATGGATACCTCTCACAGTGGGACCAGTTCACATCACAAGTGGAGCCGATTGCATCAACTGTGCCATATATGATTGCAAGGTTGCCATGCTAATATGCTATGTGCTTGCTGCCACATATATTCAGTTATATATGCATCTAACTTACTAAAACTTCCATGATTCAATTTCTTACTTTAGTGGGAACCATGAACGTGACACTCCCGGGACAGGGTCTTTTTATAACACTAATGATGCAGGTGGTGAATGTGGTGTGCTAGCTGAGACCATGTTTTATGTCCCTGCTGAGAACAGAGCCAAGTTTTGGTAAGTACGATTAATTTCTGTGGAATTATTATATCATTGCATGTTGGTCACCAAGAGGGTGAATTTACTGTCGAAGATTGTACAATAGAATTTAATGTGACTTTTTGATTCAATGAAATAAGAAAGGTACGAGCAATAAAACCAGTGAGTTTCCTGGTCATTGAAATGGAAGTGTGAAGACTAAAGGCTGCTTGGTGCAATGGTAAAAGCTCCAAGTGTGACGGTGTGGGATCGAGCTTGTCCAACTCCTAGTACCCTATGTTAGGCAGGACCAACACTAGGAATGGCCTTTTCAATGATTAGATACACATTTAAAAACTGAGTTTGGTTTGAAGTTTCCGAATTATACAACTGAAATTTAATTCTCATGTGTGAATATGAAAGACCATTGTTTGGCGCAATGGTAAAAGCACGGTTAACAAGCATATGAGGATACGACTTTGAGCCTGAGAGCAGCTAGTGCTTACTTTCCTTCCCGGTACGTGTAGGCAGACCAAGTACTGGGAATGGTTTTCCATGTGAGATGAGATTGATTTAATATTTTTTGAGCTTGGTTTGAAGTTTTTTGAATTATACAATTAAAGTTCTATTAATATTCAGGTGAGTAATTTCAAGTTTCATGAGGTATATGGTGTATAGATCATGTCATGCCCAGTGTTTCCTTTTGGCCGATTCATGGAATTAATATCCACATTATGTTACATTATTATTTTTTATATATCCAGAATTTCCTCTGAGGGCATGTTTACTGTCCTCTCTACAGGTATTCGACGGATTATGGGATGTTCCACTTCTGCATAGCCGACACTGAGCATGACTGGAGAGAGGGTTCCGAGCAGTACAGATTCATCGAAAGCTGCCTCGCATCAGTGGACAGACAAAAACAGCCTTGGTTGATCTTTGCTGCTCACCGTGTCCTCGGGTATTCCTCGGATTTCTATTATGCCTTGCAAGGCTCGTTTGAGGAGCCCATGGGAAGAGAGAGTTTGCAAAAGCTCTGGCAGAAGTACAAGGTGGACATTGCATTTTTCGGTCATGTCCACAACTATGAAAGAACATGCCCAATTTACCAGGTTAGAAAAAATTGGAAGATTTGTAGTCTACTAAATTCTACTTCATCACATAAAAAATAAAAAAAAAAAGGCCCGTTGTGGGGTCTAGGGAGGGTCAGATATACGCAGTCTTCTTAGTATGGAGAGACTATTTTTGGTTTAGAACGTATAACCTCCAGGTCACAATAAAGCAACATTATTATTGTGACAAGGCCAACCCTCTACCAAATACTGTAGTACTAAACATAAACTTCACTAGTTCAACCACCCTAGGACAAGCTTGTATGTGAGATCACACTACTTGGCCATTCATTCTGATCACTGATTCTTTGTGGGTTGTGGTGCAGAATCAATGTGTGAACACAGAAAGATCTCATTACTCTGGCACTGTCAACGGGACAATCCACGTCGTTGTCGGCGGAGGAGGAAGTCACTTATCAGAGTTCAGCCCAGTGCAGACACTGTGGAGTCTATATAGAGATTATGACTATGGTTTTGTCAAATTGACAGCATTCAATCACTCATCTCTTCTCTTTGAGTACAAGAAGAGCAGTGATGGGAAGGTTTATGACTCCTTCACTATCTCAAGGGACTACAGAGATGTCTTGGCCTGTGTACCTGATGGTTGTTCACCTACCACTTTGGCTACGTGATCTAAATCTTACAATTCTTTTGAAGATTGTCCTCTATAAAGTATGATTGTCTATGGTCAATACAATGTATGTGAACTATGCTGCTTTATAGTTGTGTACATCAATATCTCATCGTTGGTGTCTTTATCACAACATGTACGTAGTCTTTGTCCTAAATACAAAGCATATGATTTTTGTCAATTTTTTTTTCCCTCATTTTGTTCTGTGTAGGTAATGTAGTTTAGTGTAATGTATGAGAGGTGGGAGGTTGAGGGTTGTAGTGTTGCTAGGGACGCTACTGTGGGTCCATGTGCATTTAAAGTAATAATAATAAAATAAATAAATAAAAATTTGAAGGGTTGGGTTGGTTGAGTATGGCATGAAACTTTGGATCAAAGCCCAATCCAAAACAATTGTCCAAGCCAATATTAATATGATTTTCCAAATCGATCACAACTCATAAGTTCACACAACCTTAGCACATAAGAATTTCTAAATAATTATGCAATATTCCGAAAAAATTAATAATAATTATTATTATTATGTAATATCAACATGAATTCCTTTCCCCTCTTAGTTTTTACCTCCACTCTGTCCTGTTAAAAAGCTCCAAAATCGCTCGTTTTAGTAGCGGTAAATCAGAAAGTATGGACGTGCTACCACACAATACAAAGATGATGATACGACAAATCTCGACAAAAAAAAATACAAGTGACAGCAACATACATTATATACCTCATGTTAGCAAACCAGCTTTGAGCATGAGAGGTAGAACAGGCCTGCAGAAAAAGGCTAACCATTTTGACTAAGTCCATCACTTGTGAACAGCATGGAAACGTCAAATATATATATCTATATATATATATATATATATAATAATTTTTACTCATTTTATCCATAGAATAAAATCATTAATCTGATAAAACTAGATGTTTGTTATTTTTTATTTTTATAAAATTTAGGATAAAGTATATAGATATCTCCAGAGGTTTGGGGATAAGGACAAAGAAATGAAACTTAATCTATTTTGGAACAAAGACATCCCCTTAAGTTTGATACAGTAACCAAAGACACCGCAATAATAATGAATTAATATTTTTATTCTTTTCACTTTTATATTAACTCATGTGAATATTTAATATTACCTTTCTATCAAATAGGTTAGAGGTTTCTGCCTGACTATCATGACCCTTAGTGAATATTATTATTATTTTTTTTCAAATTATGGGGAGATTCTTTTAAAAATTTGAACCAAATATGTCATCATAATAATACTTTTGAAACTCTAAAGAGAATAAAACGTCTAAGCTAGATTTAGATCTAGTCAATGATGTGAAACAATGATAACTGACCCATAAAATAAAAAAAATCCCGTCTCTCTCAAGAGCCGGTTTCACACAGCGTTTGTCTGACCCAACAAAGGCTGACGATGTGCAACGACCAATAAGGTATGGCGTCGCGGCAGGGGAGCAGCGGTGATGATCTGCGAGGGGTTAACAGCACCGGAAATACATTGCTGAAGAAGGAGCGCGTGGGCGCGTTCTGCGCGAGTTAGATATACTCGCAGGAGATCCGGCGAGAAGCGAAGATGATTGCAAATAACAAGGTCTGAACGGCGAGGACGAAACGTGCGCTTAGCCGTAGTGAGCACGAATGATTTTACCTTTTGGCCGGTGGAATGAACGTTCCAGTTCCGACGAAGAGTTCCAGCGGGTGGCTGGATGAAAAGACTCACGACGATCATTTGAAATTTCCGGTGAATATTATGAGTAATACTTGGGTCCTGCCTTATCAGGACAAGAATTGTCCTCCAAGCTGATTTGGCCCAATAAGAATTTGCCACGTCTTCATTCCATTAATAAATATAAAACATGATTATACCCATTTAACTGACCCGTTTTGTAACTACAGTTGACGCAATATGCAACAAATACGACAAGTACGACATCGATAAACACAACAACCTCAACATTCCGGCGACGATGCTTTTTCCCGTCTTTTTGCCGCCGTCGAGGCCGACCTCAATCAAGCCCTCCAGGTACCCCCTCCTCTCTCTCTCCAGACTCATATGCTCTAGAGCTAGAGTTCTTTTCTCTCTCTATATATAATATGCAACTGTGTTTCTTTCTGTGTGTAGAGATCGGACGCTGTGGCAACAGAGAAAAACAGGGCAACAGTTGTCGCCATTAATGCTGAGATACGTAGAACCAAGGCTCGCTTGCTTGAGGAACTTCCCAAATTGCAAAGATTAGCGCTTAAAAAGGTCTTTTCCTAGTCTGTCACGTTTATATATATATATATATATATATATATATATATATATATATTAATTGTTCTGTTTTGTTCTTACTGTTTTCTGATACCATACCTTCGGTTTGGTTGCCCAGAAAATTGAGGAAAGTAAAATTGTTTGATTTATTTTTACATTGGTTTTGAAAAAAAAAAAAAAACATTGATGAAATTGGGGACAATAGGGAAGTATACAAACCGGCGGTGACAGTGAGTGATTGAAGATTCCGGCGGTGTGTGTCAGATTCCGGCAATTGGGTAAATCACGTTCCTCTCCGCCGGGCAATTGGGTAAACCGGTGGTATGTGTCGATGAGTAAATCACGTTTCTCTCCGCGGGGCTCCAGGAATTGTAGAACGCGTTCTGCCTTTCAAAAGGTTCCAGTTATTCCGGTGAGTTTGAGGGCGTAGTGGAGAGATTTCATCGCCGGGACGAGGTGGGCGATGAGGCCCTTGTCTGCGGTGGCCATGATTTCGTTGCCGACGGCGATTCAGTTGATTTAGGTTTTGGGGTAGAAAAGGGAGATCGCGGTGGAGAGGACAGCGAAGAAGAGCCGGTGAGACCAGATCCGGCGGCGACGATCCGGCGGAGACAAGAAGGATGACAGATAATGATAGCAGAGAGCCGGCGAGACAGATCCGGCAGTTGGAGATGGCGGCTGTGAGACAGATCCGGCAGCGGCGAGACTGATCTGTGACGAAGAAAAGGAAACACACACATGGGAGGAGAGAGAAACAAGGAGAGAGAAACAAAACGGGTCAGTTAAATGGGTATAACCCATGTTTATATTTTTTAATGGAATGGAGATGTGGCAAATTCTTATTGGGCCAAGTCAGCTTGGAGGACAATTTTTGTCCTGATAAGGCGGGACCCAAGCATTACTCAAATATTATTATTATTTTTTTTCAAATATGCCCTACAGCAAAAGCAAAACCGGTGAGTCCGACTTGGACTCCAAAAAAAATTGGACCGGCCATGCCAAATATTATTATTATTTTTATTTTATTTTTTTGAAAAAGTTAATAGGTATCAAGTTGCCTTACTCCTAGTAAGACACGGAAACGTATTATTATTACTTCCAAACTGGTACAATAAAATTGGACCGGGCCGGGCCAAATATTATTGTTATTACCTATTCTTTGAAAAAGGTTAAACGGTATCAAGTTGCCTTAATCCTAATAAGACACAGGAAACGTAGTATTCTTTCTTTCCAAGATGGTGCAGACCCAATTTAACATTACTTTCCAAGTTGGTGCAGACCCAATTTAACCCTCTTCTCTTGCACAATCTATATAAAATTGTTCTCTTTTCCTCTCCATTGCAAAAATTGGTCTTGTTTGTTTATACACAACAAAAAAAAATTGCTCTCTTGTTTGGGTTTTATATCTCTAATCAGTTCATCTTCTCCTGTGGCTATTCTGCAGATTTTATTTGTTGAATTATGCAGAAAACAGTAAGTTCAAATCCCATAGAGAAAACCACCTCAATATGTTGTGCTCAAAACGCGAGGTACCATCGTTTTTTTAACTTATGTATGAATTTCTGTGCCTCTTTTATATTTTCTCATAGTTTTTTTTTTTTAATATTATTATTATTAATATTAAATTTTAATCTTTAATTGGAATAGTGAGAAGGATGATAAAGGAGGGTTGTTTTTGGATGATATTTTCTCTTAGTTTTTTTTTTTTTTTTAATATTATTATTATTAATATTAATTTTTAATCTTTAATTGGAATAGTGAGAAGGATGATAAAAGAGGGTTGTGTTTGGATGATCGCATTAGTGGACTTCCCGATGTTATACTCGTTTCAATCTTGTCACTATTGACAATGAAAGAAGCTGGAAGAACAAGTCTGCTATCAAAGAGATGGAGGCACACGTGGACTTACATTACTGGTTTGAACTTTGATTCCTTACATATAATATATGGACTTAAACTCGAAGAAAAGGAAGTTGAAGTAGAAAGGCCATTGTATTTGAGTTGGGTTAATCAAGTCTTGAAATCGCACAACGCGCCAACTATAGATGAATTCAGGGTTCAATTTGATCTTGATGAAACTTGTAGACTTGATATTGACAATTGGGTTAACTTTGCAATGGAAAAAAGAGTTAGAAGGCTTGAGATAGACCTGTCAGAAGGTGCCGCAGGTAGTAGAGATCATGAGAAGAATTACAATTTTCCTGACGCATATGGTATTACAAATCACCTACATTCATTGTCTCTTGGGTTTACTAGCTGCAACTTCTTGACTAATCTTCTGCTGACAGACGTCAATGTAAATGGACAAGTTCTCGAGTACTTCTTAACTAACTGTCCATTATTGGAACAATTGTTTGTGAAAAAATCTTATAGTCTTGTAAATTTGAAAGTTCCTGATCTCTCACTCAACTTGAAGCGTTTGGAGATAATTAAATGTTGCAATGTGGAAAGTATTGAGATTTTTGCTATGAATCTCATGTCATTTAGGTACTACGGGCCAAAAATAAGCCTGCCATTTAAGAATGTCCAGCCACCTATTGATTTGTTTATCGGGGGTTATTATTGTGATTTTCTAATAAATAAGTTTTTGGAGATTTCAAGCTATCTTTCGCGGCTAGAAAGCCTTACGTTGCAGATGCCAAGATTTATGGAGGTTAGGAAGTTTAACTGATTCATTTGATCTCTTCCCCTTCGTTTTTATTTTATTCTTTTTACTTTTTGCTTAGCTGTGCTAATTTACTTTTTCTTTGCTTTATGTAGTTTGGTCTTGAAGAAGATGCTAAATTTCCTGTATTAAATAGACTTAAGCGACTGGAGTTGATAACGGGCACTGTTGATGGTGTAGACCTTGTTGCTTTTGCTCCCCTGATAGAGGCATGTCCTTTCTTGTCTAAATTTGTGTTCCAGGTAATAACTTCTACTTCACAACCCACATTTCTAATCTGTGAGGTTTATTGCTTTTGTGATTGAATTTTAAAATGGAAATTTTGATTCATTTGGACTTCAACTTAAAAGATTTCAATTTTCCAATTAATTGCTTCTTTATAGCTATTGCAAAATTACAACCAATAATAGGAAAAATGCTCTTACAAGTGTTTAGCTTAGCATACTCTATTCTCTTGTTCAAGTATTTTATGACTGAATGTTTATCATTCTGTTGTTCCCGTGTTGGTTTAATATTTACTGCCTTGGAGTTATACATGGTCTTTTAATATGTTGCATGTTCTTAGATTGCTTTATTTTCATGATGGTGTTCTAGAACTCCTCCCGGAGTAGGACCTCTTGAGGTCTATAACCTTATTCGGTTAGATTCGGTCTTAATTGCTCTCAAGAATAGTGTGAATTCCGTTCTAACGCAATGTTTTCTTATGTCTAACGCGGTCGATTTCGCCAGTGGTGGTTATTCCATTAAGTCTGGCAATTTTGTGATTCTAACTTACAGTTAAGATTTGATACTTAGTAATTTGGTTTTTTATGGTAATGGTCTTCAGTCATATGTATAATAGCCTTGTTGGAGCTCGTGGTGGCTATTCCATTGATTCTAGCAATGTCATGTTTTTAACTTTTAACAATTATGATTTGATACTTGGTAATTTGGTTTTGTATGCTAATAATCATCTGCCCACCATGTGACTTCATTCCTCCTTGTTACAGCTGGAATGGTGCGAGAGCAGTCGGAAATTAAAACATAGCATGTTTACATCTCGGCCCCATCAGTACCTTAAGGTGGTAGAAATAATTGGTTTTGTTGGGCTTACAAGTGATGTTGAACTTGCAATGTATTTGATTAAGAGTGCTATCAATCTTGAGAAGATTACTTTTGATTCTCGCCAACCACTTCTAATCGGAACTCCATGGGAGTTCATGGAGACCAAGGAGAGAAGGGTAGCAAGAAAACGCGCCAAGAAGCTTGGCACCAAACTTCCCGCTGGAGCAACTTTGGTAATTCTTTAATTATATGTTTGTATAAGCTAGAGCAGCTTTGGTAGTTCTTTAATTGTATGCTTGTATAAGCTATTTCTCCTACATCCTGCCTGTATAAGCTATGGCTTGCACATCCTTCCCTTGGTAAGTGTATTTGGTATTATATGTTGGATAATTGAACCTTGGGTGGGAAATAATTTGAGAGATTTTTCATTTATTTTATTTTTACTACAATATCAGAATTTTATTAATTTACTTTTTACTTTTTTCAGTTTTCGTTTAGTGGCTTCTTTGTTAATTGTATAACCCCGGAGTCTTTTCTTTATAGGGTGTGAGTAAGAAAAGACATTGAATCTCTTAAATTTAATACCCAATATAATGTTGAATAACATAAACAAGAGACTGGAAATGAGAAACATCCATTCTCCATTACATTATAGGACAAAACTATCGAGTGCATCGTACAATAAATGTTTATTCACACTAATATTTATAAGGACGTACTAAAAAATAAACACATGTATATCATTATATATATATATGTATAAATTATATAAACTAAATAAAAAATAAACACGTTTGTGTGTATATATATATATAAATTACATAAACAAAGGACATTTTTGGCTCAAAAAGTGGGGGGACATTGTCAACTCAAAATGGTCCATCACTAAGCCGAATAAATCCTTTGTTAGGGATGGCAAAGGGGTGTGGTTGGTTATACTATACTTCACCCGTTGGTTAGAAAATATGTGATACCAACTTTGTTCTTACTCCGAGGTGGATTCGTTAAACCGTTTCCGTTTTTATTCTGATAGACAAAGTACCGACTCCACACCGCATGCTTCGTTTAATTGCGTTTAGTAACTTTTAAATTACTAAATGATAGTAAATATTAATATATTAATTCGAGCAAAGTAAATATATATAAATTTTAAAGGGGCGAAATTGGTTAAACTCTATTTCACACATTAGAAAATTCGTCATACCAATTATGTTCCTAACCGGAATGGGTTTGTAATTGGTATACTATCTTAGTCTCTATTCCGATTGACAAAGTACGGATTCCACTCCGCATACTCTTTTTAATTGTGAAACGGGTTATGTCATTTTCAAAAAAAAAAAAAAAAAAAAAAAAACCCTACTCAATGTACACAAATTGGGTTGATAAATAAGCCAGACCAAATTTTAAATTACTAAATAGTAAGGAATATTACTATATTAACTGACACTTCGAGCAAAGTAAGTAATATATATATATATATATATATATATATATATATATATATATATATATTAAAAGTACATATATAATTAGAGCGAGATCGGGTCAGTTCATTACTAAATTCGCTCCCGCCCAACCCCAATCCCAATCCCGCTTTGGATTTTCAATTATTTTACCTTACTTGCCACAAACTCATTTAGGGGCTACCAAAATCAGCTCCATTAGGGGCAGGGCTAGGCGAAAACCTGTAGGGTCGGGAGAAATCAAAAAGAAGATTCTTAAAGTGACGACAAGTGAATGGTTTATTTTTTAAGTCATGTTATACCCTGTTCTATTTTTTTTATTTATAAAAAACAAAGTGCCTAACAAAATTAAACTTTAATTTATGTTGTTATAAGAAGAAAAATGCAAACAGTTTTTTTTTTTTTTTTTTTCATACGATGTCTGTCAATTTGTTATACTCCAAATCGGGATTTATTGTCCTCGGTCACTTGTTCACAACGCCAACAACTTTGAAGTTTCTTCATCAACTTCCTCAAGAATTCGAGAGCATCCATTGTTCGATTTGAAACTGCAATAGCCATTTTTGCTGATCAAATTTAGCTTTAGCAACATTTTATATTTGAATGTTGGTTCTATAACTATCAAAAAAAAAAAACAAACAAACATAATGTGCAAATACTCCAATCGTGTAAAAAAATTCTTACATTTTTCAAATTGAACAAATAAGGACAATTCTTCAATTTGAATACTGAAATACCTAAAATGCCCTAATACAAAAATAATAACAATAAATAATAAAACAAGGGCATTTTAAAAATAATTATTAAAAAAACCCAAAATTTTTATTTATTAGAAAAAAAGAAATACCTAAAATTCCCTTAAAAGCTATTTTGGTATTTTTATAAAAACATTTGGTCAAAATTGAGGAGGTAATTTGCTATAAAATTTTAAAATACATGGATTTATATATACTTTATAAAAAGTGAGTGTATTTTTGCATATTTTTTATATAGCAGATTTTTTTTTTTTTTTTTAAAAACACTTTATTCTATATAATCTCACACTTTTAATCCATATGCAATCGGCTATTAGAGTTATGAATGACACGTTTTAGAGGAGAATAGTATACTTACACCTAGCAGTTTGTCTAAAACAAAGCTTTTAATGCAATGACACGGATCCATTCGCGTGATCCTACAAGTGAAGGGTCCTTATTGCTGTATTTCCCCGATTAAAAGCACACTGCAATATAACGTTAGCAGTTGGAAAGCACGTCTTCAAATACTTTGGCCATCTGTAATACCCGATAATTTTAAAAGATTTATTAATTAGGATTAATTATTTTATTTTATTTTTTAATAATTTATTTTATTTTATTGAGTGCTAGATTAATTATCTTATTTTAATTAAATTATATTTCGTGATTATGTATGATGATTGATTGTTTGTGTGGTTGATTATTGATTGAATTATTGGTGTGTTGATTTTATTGGTATTATATGACTTAGTTGTAAATTCTTGTTTGTTTTTGTGCTTCATGTAATTAGTTATTTTAATTTCTGTATTTAATTAATTATCTTATTTATTTAAATTAATTGGATTGGGCTTAAGGAAAGTTGGACCAAAAGATGTGGTCTTAGGCTTGTATGAAACCTTATTGGGTTAATTAATGAAGGTCCGTGGTTATTTAATTATTTAAATGATCACTTTTGTATCAATTATATATATATATACATATATATATATATATATATATATATAATTATATATAAATATAATTAATTAATAATTGTTATGGAAAGATATATATATAGATATATATTTATTGATATTTATAAGTATATATGATTTAATTAATTAATGAGTTAATTATGGAAGGAATATATATTTATATATATATATGTTTATAGATATAAATTATTTAAAGATTATTATTTTAATTCATAATACTAGTTGGAATAGGATTTGGAATTTAAGGTGTATAAAAATACACATAAGGCTTTAGGGTTAAAGGTTTTACACGTTAGAAAAATAAAACAGACAGAGAGAGAGGAAGAAGAAGGGCTGATAAGGAGGAGGTCGGATCTGAAAAGGAGGACGTCGGAATTGGAAGAGATAATTAAAGCTTAAAGCGTCGGTTTCGTTTCGAAACCTTCAGGCGAGTTTTCTCTAACTTTCCTCTTAGAACTCATAAGGATTTCACCTTGAGTATCAAGGCTTTAATTAAATTTATTTGTTTAAAAATTATGGTTAGGTCGGAATAATTGAAAAGTATAAACTATTATATTTGATTTTTAGATTATTGGATTTTAATTGATATATATAGGTGTTATGTATATTTTAAAATCAATCTATAGGTGGATTTGTGACCCAAGAGAGTTAATTATGGTTTCTTAATTTTCTAGAATTGTTCTGTAATTTTCTGGAATTTTTCTGATATTTTTAGGAATTTATTAGGATTTATTTTCCTATTATTTGTTAGGAAAATAATTATATATATATATATATATATATATATATATATACTAGGTAACTAATCCAGTGCGGCGCGGTGTAGGATAATAGGGTGTATACGCCAATTAGGGCCATTTGATTAATTAAACTTATGTGAATTGATATGGTGCATCGCGGCGCATAAAACTTTGGTGCGCATGTGTATCTGGACCATAGAAGTGGTCTGGTCAACTATGGGATTATTTTGTGTATTGCAGACCATGAGAAGATGGTGCACTCGCTGATTTGGACCTTAGATCTATTATAGTTAATAGAAAATAATCTAGTGTGAGCGTGTTCATTTGCGCACTCATTTATGACCATTGGATGCGGCATAAAGGAAGTGATGGATTCAGTGTGGTGAGCTCACGGTAGCTGAAAGAGCTTAGCCAATACCAGCACACAAGGAGGCTTGAATCCAGCGCGTGCAAGTGCATAGTAAGCACGTGGGCGCGCGTGGGAAACTATGTTGGCCTAATTCTACACTAGAAATTAAAACGGTCATAACTTAATCATTTTAAATCGAAATTGGGTCATTCTTGAGCTCAAATTCAATGATTTTTCGTCTTCTTTCCAATGGTACCAATTTCATTATCAGATTCCCATCCTACTAGGAGATATTTATGTTTTAGTGAGAAAGTGTCGGAAAACTATTTAAACCAATATGGAGTATTTAAAGGAAACTATTTCTGACATATTTAGTTGCACTAATTTGTGTAAATATAATAAATTAATAATTTGTTATGGAAGGAAGTGTATATATATATATATATATATATAATTATTTATATATGGGTATATATAGTTTAATTTGTCTATGAGTTGTATGGAAGGATGAATATATATATATATATATATATATATATATATATATATATATGTATGTATGTATATTGATTTTAAATAATCAAGGATTATTAAAGAAGGTGTTAAACACATATATACATTAAATAACATATGTGTAGGTATATATATATATAAATCATTTAAGATGATTAATATTATCATTCTTATTTGGCATATCTTAATAGGCTGGTTGTTAAATTAATGATATGCGTATAATATGCATGTGATGGCTATGTATGATTTAGCGTATTGTTAATTTTAAAGTTAATTCATAGTTAAAGTGTGAGCATGGATGAATTGTCAAATGATTAAATATATTACCTAAATATTTGTATGAATAGAATACATATATGGAAAGCATGGATGAATTGCTAATTAAATGTATGAATAAATATACCTGTGGAGGCATGGTTGAATTGCCAATGTATAAATATACATACACGGAGGCATGGTTGAATTGCCAATGTATAAATAAATATACTTATGGAGGCATGGTTGAATTGCCAATATATAAATAAAAATATTTGTAACGGCATGGTTGATTTGCCAAAGCATAATTACGTTATTATGTGTTAGATGATTAAAATATCATCTATGGTTGTTGTATGTATGGATTGGATTAGGGTTAGATATTCTTAAATGAGAATAGT